TGGAAAGAGTTCAGTCGGCAGTCTGTCTTCAAATCCTCGCCAAATGATCATAAATTTTACCCAAAGCCTTTCATTCGATACAAGTGGTCAATGTCAACGCCTCTTCGCTGAGCGGCTTATAGAGCTTTGGAGAGTGTGAAGCCGAGTTTTTTTCCAGTTTACCTTTCCTCACTTGCGACATTTGTCGACACTATCGATCGAAGGCCCTCCGTCACTTAACACCTTTCAACTCCTTTTATGCAGACAAGTTGGGCATTCTATTAAAAGATATATGAAAGAACTTAGGCCGCGAGATCGTCAGAGCTTTAGACCAGCAGTTGCGTGAGCTTCCCATTACATCGGCTGATACCCAGCGTGGAGGGGGAGAGACTCACACGGCACCCAAAAAACGATATTGCAATCAATGAGGCGGGACTGTACATGAAAGAAATTCCAATTCGAACTTTTACTGCCGATTCTTATTTAACAGCGCAATTTCTCTGTAATCTTCTAACACATTCCTTATGTATTTTTGCCAATAAAGAAAGTGTAATAGAAATTAATTGCCTACAATATATTTAGTTACACATGTAAGTATATTACATATCCGTTATACCGTTATTGATCGTAAAATACTTAATTAATTAACTATTACAGCGACCGTAAGTAGAAAGAGACACGAGTCTAAATATCGTCCGAGAAAGGTAGAACAAGATCAAAACGAATGAATTGGACCAAGATGGAATGCGTTACTATCTTCGGACATCTCAATGAATTTATGAATGAATCTTATTGAATACACCCCGTAGCGAGTCTCTCGCATTAGTCATTTTTGTGTATTTTATAGAAATCTTACGACTTAAATGATTTTTGGCTCCGTTTGTAAGACAGATATTCCACATGAGACTGTCATGAAGGCAGGGGATATTGACTTCTTATAAGTGCCTCAAATTTGAGGGTAGAATCTGGATGTTATTCCTACAAATATAGCGACCTACAGTTTCAAACCACCTGAAAGTCTGACGAATATTTTTGAGCAACTTTTTTTATACTCATAGAGTTGACATTCCCTGCCAAGGGCATTTAGATTTTTTCCTTTCTTTAATTTGGATGTTTGGACTAAGCTTAAGGTCTCATCAACCACGCTGTGAGTTCTGCTTTCTCCAGCCTGGATAAGGAAACGAAAGATATGGTCTAGTAGTGTACGAAGGCAAGACGAAATAACTTCTGTCGCATATACGACTCGGATCCCAAATCACTGTTGGCAGCCATAACTATGAAGTCGGAGATAATTTCGTCTATTTGAAACCAGGATTAACACCAACCACAATATAAGCATTGAAATCCATCGCAAAAGGTGATGCATTTACTGAATAGGCGAATGACGACGAGCGGAGACCTACTACCAACTACAAAGACCGTCTTAGTATATGGTCCGGGGGCATGGACGATGTCAACATCCGATGAGTCGAAGACAAGAGTTTTCTAGAGAAAGGTTTATCTGCGCATTGGCAACGGTGAGTACCACAGTCAATGAAACGATGACCTGTCAGGAGGCAGCGGCTATACTGGCTAGGTCGTGTAGATAAATAAAAATACTCCAGCAGAGGATGAAAGTCCTCGTAAGCGGTGTCTACGCTAGTAAAGAAGAAGAGTAGGAAGATGTTTGTCCAACCCAGATTCGTATCTAAAATTGGGCTGAAAATCACTTGAGCAGTTGCATGACATTGTCATTAGTGTTAATGTCAGCTATGCTGAGGAAGGATTAATCTCATCGGTAACCTTTTTCCCTACTGGGTAACAATTGCTGATCGAAATAATTAAATGTGTATGTTTGAAGGTACATATATATACTTATAATTGGCGCTTTGTAACCACTGAAGCGATTTTCGGCCGAGCTACTCCTCCAATTGGTGGTTTTGCGTCTTGACGTTTTTCCAACAAATGGAGGGACCTACAGTTTATACTAAGCCACCTCTGAACGGCTGATGTGTTTTTTATGAGGAGCCTTTATTTCATGTCCCAAATACACCCGGGGGGGGGGCGGACATTCGCTGCCGAGGGGCGACCGCAGTTAGAAAATTTAACTTAATTTTTTATTTGAATTAATTTTCTATAACTTTTGGATGCTGGTCGCACTGGATTTGAACCCGAGCCTTCCGAATGGCAGTACGCTCCCGCGGTCGCCGAAGATATAGGTGGGGCGATATCAACATTGCTGTGGGGTTGGTAGCGCTGGAGGAATTACCAGCTAGAACGTTCTGGCAAAGAAGCTCCACAAGCAAGGAATGGTAGGACGAAACAGATGAAGGTTTCAAGCCACATTAAACGAGAGCGGGACCCAGGAATGAGCGACTTGCTAGCAGTACAACAACTAAGAGGACGGATCAAAAATACATAGCTCATGGCGTGTACTACGAGATCCATTGTGTGGAGCTCAGGCAACCCTTCGATCTACCGTATTATTGCAGTAATTTCTGAGCGGTGGTATTCACAATGAGGAAAGTCGATGCGATCGCAGAAAACCATTTATATATACATATATACGTTAATAGTAATAAGTTCACATCGTTTTACGTCAAAAAATGTACTTCGGAGCCGGAAGGTAAGATGGCTGTAGGAATGCAAATGAATATCCACTGTGTTCCAGGTCCCAAGAGCATTAAAGGGCTCAAAATAGTTGCCAGCTAAAAAAATAGCAACCAAACAATAACATGAAATACGAATGCGGCTTTGTAATCGACAAAGAGATGCTGATTGTCGAACTATTCTTCGTTAGTCTTTCCCACAACTTGGCGTAATAACGAGATCTAAGCCTTACTGATAAGGTTCAATCAATGCGCTGGCAACTGGCCTGGCTCGATAGGACGTTCTATAAAAAGACTGATTCTCCTGCCTATATGTAACCAGATTATCATTTTAATGCTCGAAACTTTGGATCAGACCTATTGACCTGTTGGCCGAATTTTCGAACATCTTTTCTGCCCGTAAAAGCCCAAGCACATACCTCACTCTCCGCTCCTGCCACGGATTTTATGCATCTGAAAGGGCATCTCCTTCCTCTTTTCCCTGCATGATTCGAGTTGCCGCAGCGACTGCAGGGTTCCTTTGTAGGTGGCGCATTGCGCTGTCGTTGTTTCGCCTACATAATCAGAGTGTAAGTTGAGCAATTCCGAGGGATGAGCGGAGTGGGCTTCAGCCGTCCGTTGTAGTTACAGTTTAGTGACGTCCAGCATACTGAAGCGTATGTTTTGCGTTTCTAGGCGGCAACAAGACACTAATCAGAGTCAAAGTTAATTCCTCGGAACGTACGAACACGCAGCGTGTCTAAGGCCAGCCCCTACGTCGATCAGATGGATAGTCAAGGTACAGCCAGCTTTCGAAGACTTTAATAGCTACCCACGTATTCTGCCCCTACCGCGACAAAATGTGAAATTAACAAATGTCTCATCAATTAATCGACTATATATTAAGAGAAAATATAAACAAAATAAATAGGGAGAGAGTGAGGCTTTTTCTCAACGCCTATTGGTCGGTTCTTTTTAAATCTGCTTGTTGTTATTGTGTCCCTAATTAATTGATTGCTAGTCCTATAAGAAGGATAAAGAAGAGTATAATTGAAAAATTTTACGATGTACGTGTACATATGTATGTGTATACATACAAACAAATTGCTTTTATTTTTTATTATTCTTTGGTGAAATTTGTTGTTTATTACAGACGAACGTGCACCATTGTATTTATGTATGTATGAAAATAACTGTTTATGAGTTCATATTTATGTAAATATATATATATATATATATATATATATATATATATTAATACATATATATCCGCTGAAATATCCACGCTTTAATCGAACACACAACCAATTAATCAGCGTAAAGTCGTTTTGGGCAGTTTTGACCGGGTAAATCCTCATTTGTCTCAGCTTTCTTACTCATGACCATGCCTTCTTCGCAATGTTGTTGCGTGTTTTCTACGCTGTGTCAATTTTAATTATCGCTAAAGATAAAAACGCAAATCACTATCAAATAACGGTATTTTCCTAGCATTTCGACTTATAACTTAGATGAGTCGCTCTGGAAATATAGAATTTCAACAGAATTGGATTGCAAGAACCTTAAACTCATCGAGCGAAGTGGTCAAAATGGACAGATTACACATCGCAGTGATATGCGTAATTGGTGAGAGAGGATCTGTATTTATTTGTTAGGGAAACCCTTTTCGTATTAATGACGATGTTTGTTGTCTCGGCTTGAGGTTTTAGCCCATCGAAGGGTGACGCCACACATCAATATTCAAAAGAAATTTCTTATTCAAAGCGTTACTCGGACTCAATCCGTCATCTTAATCACAAGTTCTAACCTCACTTTTAGAAATAAGTTCAAATTTAAGTGCGTGTTGAATACAACTATGCTCCGCAAGTTGTTTGGACTGAACTGATAATAAGGGAACAAAAAATTTTTAGACCCTGGAAATATACATCAGAACTCAAAGAAAAGAACCGAAGCATGAGGTACGTATTAAATTAAATATGCTCTCTATCACCTGTTTCGCACAATTTTACTGTTGTAATTTTTAGGCAAAAAAAAAAAAAATAGCAAACATATATACATACATCAACGAGTAAAAAGTTTTATAATTTTAATTTTATTCCGGTTAAGTTGTTTTCGAACACTAATATACGGTTTTCTTGAGTTTGGAGAACTCTTTTGGATATTTTTATACCAGCGGGTCTTCTCCTAATCATGCTTCCTCCGTTATAGTTTAAGTCATGCAATGAAAATTATACTATGTCACTTTATAGATAAAATAAAAGTTTTTCGAAAAATTTGTTTTTATTTATTTATTTTTTTTTTTTTTTGATAAAGAGAAATTTTTTTATTCTTTCATGCATACAAAAAAGGTACGTGAAGTCCTTTCACAATGCATTTTAATGAAATGCAACCCTGCTGTCTGTCAAAAGTCCCAATCTATTACATTCGAAAACATATGTTTACCAACAAAAATTTTTTTCGTGCAGTAAAAGTGAAATATTTTGAGAAAATTTTAATACCTACTTTATATGTGGAAAAATATAAATTTTAACTAGCAACAAACCAAAAAAATCAACACTTGGGTCATTAATTGATTAAGAGTTAAATATAAAAAGTAAAAAAAGAAAGAGTGTGATAGTCAATAAAGCACATCCATACATGCATTTGTTGACGTATCACACGGAAGGATACAGTATTACATTAATATTTACAAATAAATTATAATTGATTATCAGACGTGTTAAAAAATAAATTAAATAATGAGTACCGCCGCAGTTTCTGCTGCCATACAGAGCACAGCCGGTGCTGTGCCTGTTCGAAATGAAAAAGGTATGTTATAAACATAAACCAAAGTTGCATACACAAATAAACAAAATGAATCTTTCTAAATTAATAGGTGAAATATCCATGCAGAAAGTTAAAGTGCAGCGTTATGTATCTGGCAAGCGTCCAGATTACGCAATCGTTGGCACCAGCTCTGATGAATCCGATTTGGAAGATTTCATTGATCATCGCAAACGTGCTGCTCAACAGCAGCATGAACGACGCTCCCACCGCGAACATACCGAAACTCAAGAAAAGCCACAATCTGGTAATGAAGCAGAAGTTGATGATCCACGTCTGCGACGCTTGCGTGTTCGTCCAGAAGATCAGGAAGAATTGGAACGTGAACGTCGCGAAAGGCATAGACATATACATGAACCAGAAATTGTTGAGTCGGAATCGGAAGAAAGCGAAGTAGAAAATGAGAAAGCAGAAGAAAAGACGACAAATAAAATTACACTAGCTTCTGAGTCGGACTCTGATTCAGATCTGAGTGAAGATGAACTGGAGCAAAGACGTTTAAGATTGCGTCATCGCATGTTACAGCAACAGAAGGAAGAGGAGGTGAGTTTTATTGCTAAAAAAAAATATTGTTATGCGTAATAAAATAAATAATGTAAACTTTATTATTATAACTTTTATTAGGTTTTGCAAAAAGAAGAGGAAAACAAATCTGAATCGTCAGAAACTGAAAGTTCAGATTATGAAGAGGAAACTGAAAGTGAAGAAGATAACGAGCCACGTCTAAAACCATTATTTGTGCGTAAGCGTGAGCGCGCCACTATACAAGAAAAGGAACGTGAAGCACAAAAGCAAAAGCAGTTGGAAGCCGAAGCTAAGCGTACGGCTAAAGAACGTAGACGTATAACTTTACGGTTGGTTGAGGAAAGCGTTAAAAAGGATTTGGAAAAAGCTAAAGTAAGTTGAAATGTCAAATTTCTGCTGGTTAATGAAATTTTAAAATGTTTCTACTTTATATACAGCCTGACACTGCTGAAGCGAGTATCGATGATGTTTGCACAGACGATGAAAACGATGAAGTTGAATATGAAGCTTGGAAATTGCGCGAGTTGAAGCGCGTTAAGCGTGATCGTGAAGAACGTGAAAAGTACGTAGTAACTTCTATTTTGTATTTGTTTGCAATTAATAATGTTTATGCATTATTTCCTTTTTTTATAGCGCTGAACGAGAGAAATTGGAAATTGATCGCATGCGTAACTTGACCGAAGAGGAACGTCGCCAAGAGTTGCGTAATAATCCAAAACTTATCACAAACAAAGCTGCCAAGGGCAAATACAAGTTCTTACAAAAGTACTACCATCGTGGTGCTTTCTACTTGGACGAAGAGAATGACGTCCTGAAACGTGATTTCGCACAAGCCACTTTGGAAGATCACTTCGATAAGACTATTTTGCCCAAGGTGATGCAAGTAAAGAACTTTGGGCGTTGTGGCCGTACCAAATATACACATTTAGTTGATCAAGATACGACAAAATTCGATTCGCCTTGGTATGCTGAAACATCAAATAATATTAAGTTCCATAATGAGAAGGCAGGTGGCATGAAACAAGTGTTTGATCGCCCGAGTTTGTCGAAACGCAAGAAGATGGAATAAGGGGCCACTACGCAAAATATACAATTTAATATGCATGTGTATTTATTAACGACATACATATGTATAGGATTAAAAGATAAGCATTTAGTAAAGCTTTAGTTGTAATCTATTGATATTGTTTCAAAAAAAAAAAAAAATTAAAAAAATTAATTAAAATTTTTCTAAATTTACAAATTTTATTAGCACAAACTTTTTTTTTACATATTTACACCCGTTAGTCAATTATCAGCGCTTCCAAAGTCGATGGCCATTGGTATAGGCCCAGCAGCTAAGGAGGTTGTCGCCAAACATTTTTCCGCCCAATTCATTTTCTCATCACGCTCTTTGATTTTGTTCAATGGCGTCCATGATAAATCGAATTCCAGTCTATAGCTACCAAGGTACTTCTGATCAATGCCACTGCTCCATTCCTAAAACATCATTTGCATAAAAATTAAAATTACCATTTATATATACATATGTACATATACATATATGCATATGATAAGAACTTACTTCCGGCGAAAGCATACTGAAATAGTTCTGACCCGATGGACGCTGATAAAGGTGATAAATCTGACCTGGCTTTTTTGTGAAGTTACATGCGGCATTGTGCAACAACTGGCTCTCCTCGGATTCCTTTAGTATTTCCATAGCCTGACTTTGCAGCATTTTTATCTGAAGCAATTGAATGTTATTTCTAGTATTTTCGAATTAAAAAAGAAATCTCACCTGGTCTAATATCACACATAACTTCTGGCATGTTCCGGATTTCAGCTGTTTGTCGGCATTTTGTATTTGTGTTGCCAGTGATATGATGTCTTCCTCATTGTGCATGGATACGCGCAATGGATCCAAGATATTCACACCATTCGGATGAGGGTTACGCTCAACTAATTGCGCTGTTTTATTAATAAAAACATATTACGTTTAAAAATTTCTTAAACAAATTGTTTACTATTATTTTTACCCTTTTTTACAGCAGTTTCGTATGTTAATCGCTCCATGCCTGTAGCGCACCTTTTCATAACAAATAGTCAAAGCTCTTTATTTTTGTTTTTAAATTTTGTTGCTATAAAAGCATATGGTCCAAAATTGTTTGTTGTATCGAAAAGTTACTCTTGATTCCAAAGTAAGCTATGTTATTCGGTACTTTTCTGCTTCCAATATACTATTCAGCTGCCCACTTTCCAATATCCCCAGTCAGTATTATTTTTTAAACCTATAAGTTTGAGGAAATAAAGTTTATGTGCTAAGCGAGGCACAAAAAGCAGGTAAAAAATATAAACAAGGAAAAATTGTCAAAGGTGCTTTTAGAAATGTCGATAGATGGATTTATCGATAAGTTTCATGTACCGATTCATCTCTTTGGCAGTCATATGTTTTTGACATTTACAAGCGCCTAGTTGCACAGTGGCGTAATATCAAAAACATTTTAGTTAAATTATATATATGAAAACTTAATGCAGAAGACTCATATGTCACATAATTCGAAAAATATTTGAAATATTAAATACAATATTAAAAAAAAGTTGTTTATCCATCCATTGCGTTCAATTTAATTTAATATAATTTAAATTGAGTTAGTTGGCGGCCGCGGTAGCCGATTGGTTAGCATTGCGCACTGCCATTCGGAAGGCTCGGGTTCAAGTCCCCCCGCGACCAACATCCAAAAGTTATTCAAAATTATTTTAAATAAAACATTAAGCTTAATTTTCTAATTGCAAATAAATATAAAAAAAAAACCATCATCCCTTCTGAGGCGACTTAGTATAAACTGTAGGTTCCTCCATTTGTTGGATAAACATCAAGACGCAAAACCATAAGTTGATGGCGGAGTTCGGCCGAAAATCGCTTCAGCGGTTACAAAGCGCCAATTATATATATAATTATAATTATTGAGTTAAAAAAAGTTATTCAAATGAGAAGAAATATATTTTTTTTTTTTTGACAAAACCACTACATTTTATTATTATTTGTTATCAGTTAAGCACAATTTGTGCATTATACATATTCATATAAGCAAGTATGTATGTATTTCGAAACATCATCAACTACACCGGGTTAAAAATAAATCTAACACCTATGACAATTATAATTTAATTTGTGTAAATGTTCTATATAAATCAAAATGCAAGTTTTATTGCACTGGAAATGTAATTTGTTCATTTTTTAAACATCTTTGTCATGTCAAATTGCTTCTAGCAATTTACAACACAAATGGAAATATGGCACGACGACCTTTGGGATAGTCTTTGAACTCTTTCTTATAGTTACGGTGTTTGCCCAAAGCCCACATGGTCATTTGATAAGCGCCAGCAATTGCAAAAAGCAATGCCGGTAGGCATTGAGTCATTAAAGAATATGCTACCCAGGAGCCAATTTCATAAGTGTAGTTGGGACAAGACACCAAGCTGAAAACAAAACATATTAACTAAATTTTTTCATAACAAACTTAAATTAGATTTACTTGAACAGTTTGGTAAAGGGATTGTCATCAGGTACCGGAATGCGACGTACTTTTGTGCCCGGCGGACGTAAATTGCGCAAAGCAATATGTATAGAATAGTTACCGAGTTCGCATATCTGTAGATAAAGATGAGGTACATATTATTTTATAATATAATACAGTTAAAATACTATTTACCGCAAAGGCAGCCAATGAGCCCCAGACTTGCAAGCAACAAGGACTGGTATATAATGGGTGGTTAACGTGATAAGAAACATAAGCAGTGAATCCCCAGTAGTAGCTGCAATTTTTGAATAGATTACGTATGGGCATAGTAGCATGTGAGAAGCGATGCACGAAAATAGTCTCCAAAATCCGTTTAAGGTAATGTACGACATAGCAGCCAGCTGCAATACTGTGAAAGGAAACAAAATTTATAATTATGCAACTGTTTTAAATTTGCAAAATCTAAAAATGACTATTAATTAATGCAAAATAATAATGAGCACTTGTGCAACTATGCTTTGGCACAACAAAAGTCTCATCACCAAGCGTTTAGCCGCAGCAAAGAAAGCATAACGAAAAACGAAAAGGTTAATCTAGGTCGACGATTTTTTGTTGTTGCTTTTACTATTTGTATATTACCTTTTACGTTATACGTGTTGTTTCGTTAATTTAAATCACTGTGGCTCGCTAGGGGAAAGTTCAAAATTAACTATAAACTTACTGTGCCGTTAAAGACATTGGTGTATCTGCTGCGTCACCGTAGATAAAACTCGGGCGAGCATAGAAGATTAGGTAAACGAATAATGGGCCGGCATACTCGGCTAAAAATACAGTCTTCCAACCAATTTGTGGTCCCAGATCTTTAATATAAATCTTATTAGATTTTCCAACATTTGCGTCCTCAACAGTATCAGTTTCCTTAAGTGCTTTGCCACGGGGCTCCAAGCGCAGTGACTGCCTTTCAGGTGCCGGTGTATTCCGATACTGCTTATTAATAATGTAACGCAATTCACCAATGGTAGTGGTAGGTGGCACTTGGCATTTTCCAAAAGATTTGGAGCCTGTGGTTGATAAAATTTCAATCTGGAATAGAATAAAATTATGCTTAGTTTCCGGGTTTTTTTTTTTAAATATGTACACCATTATGGGTCTGTTGGTGCATAAATATTTATTTCATTCACTTGTACTTACATCCATTATTTAATATGCAAATAAGTAGCGAACTTATTGACACAAACTGTGCACTTATTTGTAAAATTTTATTTACAGTAAACTGAAACTTCCGTCCGAATCACACTGCACTATTTTCACTAATGCGCTTTGCACAAATCGTGTGCTAAGAAAATTTCGAAGTTATAAAAGTGATATCAAAGTTCAATCGATTGTTTGAAAGTGTTGTCATAATGAAGGTTTACACATTCGGTTGAAAATCACATTTGTTTAAGATATATTGATTTAAATTTTTTACATGTTGCCTAAAACTTAACTACAACATAATAATAATATATAAATATAACATTTAATAACTTTTAAAAATCCAATATACATTATTCACTTGAGCCAGGAACTGTTAGTGGTTCGCATAGGGTTTCACAGGCTTGAAGCTAAGAAGGAAGAGTGTGATTTTTGAACTTGTTTCGTTTTGAACGACATTGCCGGTTGAGTCTTTGAATTTGTTGAAAGAGTTTTTATAAAAGTAAGAGTTCATTTAAAGATCTAAAGAAGATTAAGCGGTTTTTTGTGGTTGTAGAAATTAAATTAAATCTCAGTAAACAGTGCTTTCAATAATTCACTAATAATGAAATAGTTACCCTCGAAAGAGGCAACATTGGCCCAGCCATTTACCCATTTCCTTAGCTCCTATTCGTAAATATTGTTGTGTTTTGCTTTAACATGTGATTTTTTCTGGAAATTATTCGAAATAGAAGTGAGGAAAACATCTGAGTAGAGAGTTTGTAGTTGAAAATAATAGAAAAACACAATAAATTAATTAGAAAAAACTGTTTTAACATTGGCATGAAAGTAAAAGTTCTACAACATGGCTGACAGTGCAGAAGAGGTAAGAATTTTAGAAAAAATAATGCAGGTGTTGCAGCTCGATCTCTTATAATTCTACAGATCGAATTGTGTCAGAATATTGGTCCACATGAGTTGGTAGAGGTCAAATCAAAGGCTGTAGTAAAGTTCTCAGCCGTACAGGTGCCAGTAAGTTTTAATCGCCTACAATGCAATACCAATCTGAATCTGCCCCCATCCAATTGGCTCACAACATCAAACAATAGCGGCTTGCACCAGGCCCTTTACCAGTCTCCCGGCTTTGCTAGGTGAGTCATTAACAATTTTCAAAAGCTAGTTTTATCGGTATAATTTTATTAAATCACTTATGTACGCATTTTGTTAATTAAAACACATATTTGTACATAGCTTTAGCATTGCACACATGTTTCCCGACTGCGTAGGCGAAGTGGACGTTGTTACCGATGCGGAAAATATCAAAAGGCTTTTAAAGATGCCTTACACTTCGAAAAGTGCTGTTAGTATGATTGTGCACAAAGTGGGCAACACACTCCTACTTGACGAGTTTGATATACAAAAGTATTTGCTGCGCAAAGCCGATGACGATTGGAAGTGGCTACGAACTTTTATACTAGAACATATATTAGCATATGGTGAAAAAGATCACAGCTTCTGCTTAAAGGATAAATCTCGAGAAGCATTACAAACTAAGAATTTGCTCTCGAAGTTTCTCTACTACAGCTTGAAGCAATCGGGTGCTGAAGCACCTGAACCCGAAACACAACGTGCACGACCTGCTTTACCCATTACAGGGCCCGTGCTACCTGAACCAAAGGTAGAAGAGAATGTGCCTGATCCAAAATCCAGTCATGTTTTCAATCGTAATGTGCTCTGGACATTTGAAGACATACGCATGCTCATTGGCACCGATATGCCAATATTTGGTGGTCCCAATCGTCCTTGTATTAGTCTACGTTTACGTGATATGGCTAAGCCCATAAATGTATTGACTGGTATAGATTACTGGCTTGACAATTTGATGTGCAACGTACCGGAGGTGGTGATGTGCTATCACATAGATGGAATCGTGCAAAAATATGAGATTATCAAAACCGAAGATCTACCTTATCTGGAAAACTCACAATTCTCTCCGCAGGTGGTGCGCAATGTTGCACAAAATATATTGGCATTCCTGAAAGCTAACGCCACGAAAGCGGGCCACACCTATTGGTTGTTCAAGGGGCGCAATGATGATGTGGTCAAGCTGTATGATCTCACAACACTTTGCCAGAAGGATACCGAAGCAAATAGGTGTGATGAAAAACAGGAAAGTCCCTTCACTGTGCCTGTTGCTATGCTCTTGTACACAGTGGCACGTAATATGAAGAATACAGCCACGCAGATAACACCAAAAATTGCAGGTAACATTAAAGCTTTGCTGGATAATTGCATTAAGTTGCTGCCCAAAGAGAAATATCCACAGATTGTGACATCTTCGCATTATATACTGTCCGATTTGCATTTGCCCGCTGGCATTGATCCCAAAGCACCCAAGTTTGACACTTCGGATTTTGATTCCGACACACAATCTGTTTATGAAGAAGACGAAGACGAAGATTTGGGTAGCGATGATGATTTCAATTTGAATGATGTACACAATGAGTTAAGTGAAAGTGCTGAACACAGTGGTAAGGTGGCGATTAAACAAATTTGCGATACCCTAAAGGAATTGAATTTGGAGGCACATATGAAGAATGGCAAACGTGCACCACGCGCACCCTCGCCGCTACATGTTGGTGTAGAGGATCGTTGTCGCATTTCTTTAGAGCACATCAGCGCCGGCATTGCTTGTTTGAAGTTTTTCAATTCGAGTGAGGAAAAGTTTATTAAAGAAAGTGAAGTACGCGCTAAAGATGAGGAGAAACAACGTATTTTATATGAGGAACAAAATCCAAATATGGCAAAACCCTTTAAACCCATACCGCTGCCTTATGAAAGTCTTACGAAACAAACATTAAATGGCATAACAGAAGCTCAAACAAAGTTGGACGATATACTGGTTGTTAAGAACCAAACGGCAGCACTTAGTGAAAAGGAGAAAAAGTCGAAAAAATCGAAAGCGAAACGCAATAAAGGCAAAGAATTGAAAGAATGCCAAACTACAAAGGCGGAAGAGAATCAAGGACAAGTTCAACAGCCCATAACAGAGGACAAACGTATTGCAACGAAATTCAATACACAACATTTCGGTTCATGGAATGTACATTTGAAATTACTGCTGCTGGAAAAGGCTTGCCTCACTTATGCCACCTACGCTGAGTTCTATTATGTAGAGCAGAAATATGGTAGTTGCTTAAAAGCTATTTATATGGCCTGCCGTTGCCAGCAAGTGGTTTTGAAATATTTGTCTGGCATTGTTTCGCAAAAAAGTTGCTTATTGGGACGCGCAGGTGATTGCTTCTTTCAAATGACTAAAAATTGGGATGAAATTGACAATTACCTGGAGCAATTCCATGAAGAGACAGAAATTGCGCAAAATATTAATAATGAATTGGTGAAGGATTTGGATGGTGGTAAGAATCTTAAAATAAGCGCAAAAAAAACTTTCTAAATTTCATTTTTTTTTTCAGAGGATCTCATCGAGTTAATAACACCTGTGGCTAATATTGAACATTTGATGGTCTCCAGTTGCAAGAGTTATGAAAATGCGCTTGCGTGCGTTGATGAGGTAAACGCCGACGATGAAGATGCCAAAAGTGAGTTGCTGCGACGCTTGGGTAATGTACGAAATGAGTTGGGCCTAAAATACATGTACTGGGCGCAAGGTGAGCTGTTGGAGCATTCAATAATTATTACTTAATTTTAAAAAATTACTTTTAAATGAATTTTCCAGAGGAATATGCAAAAGAAATGGCAAAAAAATCCGATAAATCGTCGAATGAAAGTGATTCTATAGAAACCAGCCTCACGGGAAACAGTCAAACGGACGAAAAAGAAATAAAAACTGCTAAGGACAAAGAATCCTCAAAACCGGAGGAGCCAGTATATATGAAATTGGCAATGAAATCGTATGATTGTCTAATACGCGGCATATCGGCGTTCAATGAGGTGCAAGATAATGTAAATTTGGCCTTCCTCTATTGTAATATGGGGCGTTTTATGCGTTTTCGGGCACATTTGTACTTGCCTGAAGAAAAGTAGGTAGCACTTAGCGTGTAACATGTAAATATTCTGCTAACTCTTACATTATTCGCAGCATTGATTTTGTCCACAAACAGAAAATGTTCTACAATGAGGCATTCTTGAATTATGAAAAAGCGAAAGAGGTTTTAGGCTCACGTAAATCCAGCCCAGAGTTGTGGGATTTGGTAAATTGGGAACTTTCAACTGCTACATTTACATTAGCGAAGCAATTGCAAGATTTTAGCACAGCTGATGAGGTAACTTAGAGTTTTCAAAGAAATTTAAAGAGAATATACATAATTATCTTCCTTCCCATCAGGCGACGCGTGCCGAAGTTGAGAAACAGGTGCTGGATTTGCTGCAAAAGTCCTTAAAACTATGCGATTACAAACAAATCGGTTCCCGTCAAGTTCTTTACACTTATCGTGCTGGTCTAATACATAAGCGGTAGGCATTTTTTTTATGGCTGCGTGAATGTTTAAGACGAATTCTTATTATTTATATACTATACTCCTTTGCAGCATTGCTTCCTTCCATTACAGCCAATTGCGTAATAGCTGCACTGACATTTCCACAGTACCCAAAGCCACCTTACAGCTATGTAAGCATCAGTATGAACTCGCTGCTAACCTATTGGACGGTTTAAGTGAGGCTAGTGACTATCTAGTGGTACAACTCGAACGCATTTCACTGCAGGAATTCTTAGCCGATCGTATGTTATTAAATTTAAACAATTTGCTATGTAATTGTATACACTTTTCATTGTTTTGCAGTATCACCGCATATTAGCCAAAAAATTAAACACCTTCAAGCCGCTTTGTCCTTATGTCTGAGATCAAAAGCAGTCTTTGAATATGCCTTAAACACGAATAATTCTACAGATAACAACACATCGAATGATGAACTTTATAAACATATGCTATTATTTGAAAGTCGTTTACAGAATACACTCAAAACATTAATAAAAATGTTGCTTAACGGCAAGGATCCGAAAAAATTAGTTGAACTTTATAAAAAAATGTATATGGCAACATTGACAAGTAAACGGCCAGCTATGGGTGAGCAAGAGAACATGCCAGTTGAAGAGTTGGCCCAACATTTTGTCACTTTAATGGAGCGCCTCAATGAGTTGGAGCAGACGCATATACCCAATGCAGCTGAAAAGCTTTAAACTTACTTAAACAGGTCTTAATTTATTCTTCTACACCATTTTCAAGTACCCATAAGTATACTAAAACACTACTCGTGTGCAACAATTTAGTCTTATTTAATACATACATACATATGACTGGATATAAAATATCGCATAAGTTTTGCATCGCATTGTAATTAATTTTAAGTAAGATTTTAATAAGTTTCTGTTATTAGTCTCATAGTAACAATTACTAAAATATATTTGTTTGGAGACACTGGTTTACATAAAAACACATTTAATGGAAGATGTAAATTAATTTATCTATTTTGCGATCTTCAAATGAGTTTTATTTTTGAATTAGTTCCTTTTTATATTGTATGATTTTCTGAAATTATTACGTCATAGGGTATAAAATATAATGCAGAGATAATTGTTTGAATTGCTTGTGGAAAAATTTGATAATTTTTTTGTGGTTGAAATCGTGGATAATTAATTTAAGCTTAATTTACTACTTTTTATTTTCATTTTTTTTATTTAAGATAATTTATATCTTAGTTTTTTAAACAATAAAACTTCAAACTATTTGAATGTGTTCAAATATTTTGATAGGATTTTCATCATAAAGTTTAGCCGTAAAAATTGAAACTGAACTGTTAAAACAACACCTATTTATATTAATTAATATATTGCAAAAAATATAGATTACCATTTTAATTAAATAATTTGTAGTATATTTTTCTCCTTAAATAATTTTTTTTATAGAATACTTTTAACCTTTTTTATTGCATTGAACTAATTTTTTTTAACTTTTTATTAACAATTTTGTTTTAAAAAATTTTATAAAATGTTTTTTAATTGTTTTTTTTTTTGTAATTTTTTCGCTTTTATACTTTTTTATTTATTTGATTTTTTTATCACAACTTTTTTTTATTTTTTTAACAGATTTTTTTATTCTTTGTTTATATTTATATTTTGATATTTTTTAATTTTTGTTTTATATTTTCGTTTTATTTATCTTACAAACTTTTTTTTAAATTTTTTATTAATTCATCTTATTATTTTTATATTAATTATTTTATTTATTTAATTATTTTTTTATTAATATATTTTATTTTTTTTTTATTTCTTTAATGTTTATTATTTTTTACTTTTTTCAAATTTATTTTGAAGGTTTTTTTGTTATTTTAAATTTTGAATTTTTTCAATTTTTAATTTTCTATTCATTTTTTTAATTTTTTTAATTAATTTTTTTATATATTTTTCCATAATTTTTATAATTTTCTCATATAACTGTTTTATTTTTTCTATTATCTTTAAACTTTTTAATTTGTTCTATAGTTTTTTAATTTTTTTTTATTGTTTCTAAATTTTTAAAATTTTTTTCTTATGTTTTTCTATTGTTATTATTTTTTTCGTATTTTATTCCTTATTTTTTTTAATTTTTTTTTTTAATTCTTGTATGATTTTTTATATTATTTTTTCTGTATATATTTTACTTATTTTTTCTGTTTATTAATTTTTTTATTCTTTTTCCATTTTTTTTAATTTTTTAATTTTTCATGTTTGAATTTTTTTCTATTTTTTATTTTGTTTTATTTTTTCCCATTTATTTTTTTTAACGAATTTCTTGATTCAAGAAAAAAAATTAAAACATACAAAATAGTAGCCTACAATTAGGCGTTTCTGTTGTTACTCACTACCGATAATTTTTCATAAATTAAAATGTTAAAATAAAGAGAGCAAAAATATAAATAAAAACCGAATCGGAAATGGATATCAATTTTATATTTGATTTAAGTTTCCGGTGACATCAGGAGGTCGTGAGGAAGTTTGTTATTGTTGTCATTGCAAAAATATTCCCCACAGTAGTTCTTGGGGAATGTTGCGGGAGTAAAAGTCCTCGGCTGGATAAAATCCCAAAATAAGTTCTTGAACCCTTAACCCACAGTCCTGAAGAAGGTGGAGCCTTTTCATCACCGTCTCGTTATTCCGCGGCTTCCAAATTGGAGCAGTGCAATTTTCGACTGACTGGTTCATTGTCTTGTATGTTGCAGGCAACGTTTCTTTGTGATTTTCCCAGTAGCTGCAGGCTAACGATTTGAGGATAATTTCGTCCTTAGTTCTGCTCACGACTGGTTGTTGTTGTTGTAGCAGATAGATAACTTCGTTCGGCAGAAGGCAAAATTAATCGATGTCGTCTAGTTGGTTTAAGGGGCGATCCAATAAGTGAGCTCAGTCGACGGGTTCCGAACAGGGAATATAGCTACAGCTTCTTCATCTAGGTATTGTCGAGTGAAAAGCTTCCAGCAGACTGACCTGCACCGACCCGATAAATTTGTGTTATTAACAAACATTAAAAAACGTTTCGGTCTCGCGTTTAGCCCCTCACATCACTTTTAACCGTCATAACCTTACAACTAGTGAAAGCAGAAATACAGAAGACACTTATGACGTTGAGGGGATCAGGTAGAGAAGGGTATGGACTCTTTTGGTGTCTGAAAATGGTTCCGAAATATGAAAGGAAAAGAGGAAGAAAGATGTTTAGGTTGTTGGCATCTGAGCTAGTTTCGTAAGGTCCAGCTTATCGTTTTCGCGTTGAACCCCTGTCCATTGGGGAAGACTGCCTCAAAAGGGGCCAGTATTCAGAAATGAAATATAATATAGTTTAGGTAAGGGGTTATTTTTATTTATTTATGACGTCATCTCATTCACTTTGATATAAAGAAAGCGTTGGTTTTGCATTGGGAGCATACCACAAATTAGGATTTTGATTTAGACCATGAGACATTGATGGACCTGGAGGGCCTGGTGGTCCAGGTGGACCCGTACGTCCCTGCAGACCTGTCCTACCCATAGGACCTGTTGCGCCGGTAAGCCCACGTGGGCCTGGCGGTCCCGGTGGCCCTGGTGGACCGGGAGGTCCGACCACAGCAACAGGCAATATAGCGGCCGGAGGTTGTAGACCCACATTCTCTTGAGTCAGACCAGTGTTGGGTATTTTACCAGCTGATGTAAGCATATTGAGGCCAGCATTACCATTCAAATTGAAGCCAAGTTGCAAGCGATCGGCCAGCGACCAACGTTGATAAGCATTCTCATAGAAGGGATAATTACGACGCATATCATTTGACAAACGATTGTCCAATATGGTAGCTGTGTTAGGTTGGGGCGCACTGTAAATGGGATAACCAATGTTGGGCAACATAAATTTAATGCTCTCATCATCCATAACAGGCATAGCATTCGAGTAGAGATAATCGGGTATCTTGCGGCTATCCTTCTCTAAGTCGCTCTCCTGTGTTGTTGCTTTATCGCCCGTGCTGTCGGTTTTCTGTACGTTGCCATCCATGCGTGGCTCCTGCCTCGAGGTCTGTTCATCTTGTGCGTAAATAACAAGTTTGCCATCACCGTCGGCATTGCGTGCCACACCAAAATGCAATGGTGTAGCGCGTAATGAGTGTACAAGCGGACTTGAGCCGGTGATGAGCAGCAGCAGGATGGCTGTGTTAGGAGGATGAGAAGTATTTGACGTTATTAAGGCTAAGACTTTGAGTTTCAATGTTTGACTTACCGATTTCTCGTATAACTTTTGCGGTCTTCATTTTGGTTATGTTGTCGTCTAATACCAAAAACATGCTTTTATATAAGAGCATCTCAAATGCTTCTGATTTCTATGCTACCTTCACTCAACTGGATGCTTATTAAGATAGAAATCTAATTGAGCTGCCAACGAAATGCCCTTGGGAAACTCATGAATAAATATGCACAGCTGCTCGGATTGACAAAGTCGCTAGAGCGAAGCGCCAAAATTAATGGATGATGCTTGCTATGATTTCAAACATAACTGGGTCAGGCGTTAAACTGTTGAAAGCTCATCGAATGCCAACATAAAAAGATTGCTGTTGAATTTTATGCGCGTCCATCAAGCTTGCAGAGATGGAGAGCGTTGATAAGAGCTGAGCAGACATTTGTCTTATGTGACCGGTCAGAAGTAAAGATGTGTTAAGAACTTTCAAGACACTAACTAATAAAATACCGTTAGAAAGTTTGTATATTTTTTACATTTTTTATACATATTTTATACAATTTTAATTATTTTGATGAGGTATCTCTGCACACTTCACTAGTTATCATAATAATCTCCCTCATATTCCGTTGCATAAATCTCATACGGCATATTACGTGCCGATGTGCCTGGTGGCCCAGTTGGTCCGGGTGGTCCCATAAAACCTTGCGGCCCCGTCAGTCCGGGCGGTCCATTCGAGCCGGGAAAGCCACGTCGACCGCGCACACCAGGCGGCCCTTGTTGACCAGCTACACCGTCGCGGCCATCCGGTCCGGGCGCACCTTGCGGTCCGGGTGCACCAGCTGGGCCACTATCGCCAGTAGGGCCACGTGGACCCGGATTGCCTATATTACCTGATAGGCCTGGCACACCAGGTGGCCCCGGTGGACCTTGTTGTGTGTAATACACCTGCCCGCCGAATTGTGCTTGCAACGGTTGTAGGATTAGGCAGAACGTTAGAGTGACTGTAAACAAACAACAACAATGAAATGTTTAAAATAATTTTTTTTTGTAAATATGTAAGTTGTATGCAATTTTTCACTTACAGAGTAGGAAATAAACTGCGCAATCCATTTCATCTGCTCAACTACACTTCGGCGGAGAAGCGCAGCTCCTTTTATAGGCAGGCATGCAGAGGCAAGGCGCATTTCGAACATTTAATTTATATGCTGAGTTTAATTGTATTAATTAAATTTGTATATTTGGACGCTTAAAATTATAACAACAATAAGTTTTCTTACATTTATGTTCTCAACTGAGCTGTTGACGTTTGCAGAGTTGAAATCGTTAAAGAAATTAAGCCTCTTTGCTGTAAAACAATTTCATTTTCCATTTTCCTCATTTACACAAAATATAAAAATTTTATTGCCATTTGATTACTTCATTACCCCAGCATCAGATACACTTAACTTTTTTAAGCTTGAAACCTGTTTAGAGAACATAAATCTACGCGCAGAGTGATTAATGGATTGATAGGAGTCACTGATGATAGAATCTAAGTGTTGAATTTGTTTAACGAAACAAAAAATAAAAGAAAAAAAATATTTAAATTATCTACTTCTACTTTAGCTTTAATTAAATCAGTTAATCCATTAAATAGAGCACAAATTAAAGAAAAAATATATTCATGGCGTTTTATGATTTAATGAAAGTATTTCTTTTTTCGATTTTAAAAAAGGTATTCTATAACAAAAATGAAATCAAAACATATTTGGAAAATGTTTGAAAAACTCCGTAGCCAAACTTTCACTGAAAAGTACACCTGTGTATGAATAGGAATCCAATCAATTGGATCATTTAGAGCATATTTTGTACTACGAGGTGTGTTCAAAATATAATCGTATAATCGAATTTCGATTTTTTTGTGGCGTTATGTTGGCACTCATGTCTGTCACTTATGCCGACAAGCTCGGCTATTTTTAATGTTCACTTAATTGCTGACAGCTGCTTTGCTTGCACGTGTTTTGGATGGTCTTCGATTTTTACTTATTCAAAAAAATGGATCAAAGAACCTGTATCAAATTTTGTGTGAAAAACGAAATTAAGTACGCGGATGCATTCCGACTGTTGACTGTGGCGTACGGAGAATCTATCTTCTACCGCAGTAACGTTTATCGGTGGTACAAAATGTTCTCAGAAGGCCGAGAAGATGTGAACGACGAAGAGCGTGCCGGACGCCCGAGCACTTCAACAACAGACGAAAAAATTAATTGCAGGAGCGTGGTGCACCATGAGTTGTTGCCACAGGGTAAAACGATCAAAAAGGAATATTACCTGCAAGTTATGCGTAATTTGCGCTAAGCAATCCGCCAGAAAAGCCCGGATTCGTGGAAGAACAAAAATTGGCTTTAGCAACACGATAACGCCACTGCTCACACATCTGTCCAGCTGTGATTTTTTCTTGTTCCCTTAACTGAAGAAGCCCATGAAAGGACGACGTTACGCTACGATTGACGAGATAAAGACGGCATCGAAGGAGAAGCTGAACAAGATAAAAAAAATGATTTTTTGAAGTGCTTCGAAGATTGGAAAAACCGTTGGCACAAATGTATAATATCTCATGGGGATTACTTTGAAGGGGACAAAATAGATATTCATGAATAAATAAATAATTTTTGAAAAAACACCAAATTCACGATAATTTTTGAACACACCTCGTATACTTGCATCTTTGCCTTAGTAAATAACAGAAGAATGAAAGCTTGTTAAGCTCTTTAGACAGTACCGCAGCTTTCAAAGTGAAATATTCAATAATATTTTTAGCAAGGGCAATATATCTCTAACTAAATTCATTAACTGTTTTATTCCTCAGCACGATCTTGAAATGTACTAGAAACATAATATTAGGTCAAGTAAAAAGTTCGTTCGGTTTTTATCTAAGAGTAGACGTTATTGTCCATATTACTAGTGTTACGTACGGCGCTGAAAACGTGTTTATTTGTGCTAAAAGTTTGTCTTTGACAGTTTTTCGATTGATTGACTCAGTACGTGAGAGCTAGTCAAAGATGGACACCAGCAAAGAGAAAATTCGCTCTATTTTTTAATTTTTCTTCGAACAAGGCGAAAAGGCAGCCAAAGCGGCTAAAAAAATTAATTTAATTTATGGATCCGATACTGTAAACGAACGTGTAGCACAAAAGTGGTTTCCTAGGTTCCGTTCCGGTAATTTCGATGCACCAGGTTTTTCTGTGTGTTTGGTGGTATTGGCAAGGAATTATCTACTCCGAACTGCTCTCCTATGATGAAATGCTCAATTCGGCCCTCTACTGTCAACAACTGGACCGCTTTAATTCAGCACTCATCCAGAAGAGACCATCTTTGATCAACAGAGGCCGAATTGTGTTCCGCAGAGGACAACGCCAGGCCACACACGTCTTTGGTGATGCGCCAAAGCTACAGGAGCTCGGGTGGGAGGTTCTAATGCAGCCACCTTATAGTTCGGACCTGGCACCTGCCCACAGCGAACGCGCTTAATGGCGAGAAGTTGGCCTCAAGAGAGGCCTGTGAAAATTGGCTCTACGAGTTTTTTGCCAATAGGGACGCAGCCTTCTACGAGAGGGGTATAATGAAGTGGATATCTCGTTGGCAACAAGTTTACGAACAAAACGGTGCAAATTCGACTTAAATCGGACAAAATAATACAAACTTATCATTTTTTGAAAAATCAATAAAAAACCGTACGAAATTTTTACCTGTACTTAAAATTTTTTTATAGAAGAAAATAATTATACCTGTGAGCAAAAAGTTATGTGAATTTTCAATTTGTGTTTAATATTTCTGCTTAATTTTTTTATAATGTTGGCAACACTGTTATTGACATCTACGCGAAATTTCATGTCAATGTCATCATTGGTATTGTAGTTACGCCTGCGTCTACTAAACGATTGAAAGTGCCTTCGGGGTTTTTGCATCACGATAATAATCACACAGCACTCATTCTTCGTGACCATTTCTCTAAAAATTCCACGAATATCGGTCCCCAACCGCCATATTCGCCGGACTTAGCCCTATGTGACTTCTGGTTCTTCCAAAAACTCAAGAGACCACTTTGAGGACATTGTTTTGAGTCGATTTAGGAGATCAAACGTGAATCTCTGAAGGCCATACCAGAACGTGACTATTTTTCATGCTTCGATAACTGGAAAAAGCGTTGCCATAAGTGCATTGCATCGGCAGGAGACTATTTTGAAGGCGATGGATCCGATGCAGAAAATTCAAATTCACCTCAATTTTTGCTCACAGGTGGAAAACTTGTTTCCAAAGCATATTTTTTTTGGAAAAATGAGAGTACTTGTAGGTACTGGCAGTGGTTATAATAGACCAATAATAAGCATCATCTAATTCAAAACATTATCTTTTTCATGATATTATCAATTTGACTACTACTTATTTCTCAAAGCCTTTCACGTACTTATCAATATGAATGCCTCGATGTAGGCCATTCGGATCTATGTTCATCCACACTCATGTTGAGCAAAGTTATGCGATTATAGCCGAATCAATAATAGCGCATCTATCATTCAATCTGTTCGCTGCTTGATGCCGATTCGAAATACCAAGTGAAGCCAAGTCACTGATCCTGATCCTTCTAACGGAGTGAAGGTCTTCCTCTTCCTCTTCTTCCACCAACGGGTAGTACATCGAGTACTTTCAAAGCTGGAGTGTTCTTATCGATCCGGACCACATGACTTAGCAAGCGGAGCCGTTTTTTTCTTGATTCGCTGAATTGTGTCAAGGTCGGCATACATCTCTTACAGCTCATCGCGCCTTCATCTGCGGTTGCCAATGTACAAAGGACCATAAATCGTTCGCAAAACTTTTCTCTCAAAGATTCCCAAGGCCTACTCATCGAATGAGTATATTGGACATTGTCTACGCTTCAGTGTCGTGTAGTAGGAGTGGTATGATGAGCGACTTGTAGACTTCGGTTACTGCTAGTTGAGATATGACTTTACTGTTTCATTTGTCTATTCATTCCAAGGTAGCAACTGTTGGCACGAGTGATTCTGTGCTGGATTTTAAGGCTGATATTATTGTTGGTGTTAATGCTGGTCTCTAGATAAACGAAATTATCTACGACCTCGAAGTTATTACTCGCGATTGCAATGACTGTTTGTTTGATGCCGGGAAATATTTAGCTTTGTGCAGGTTCCCAACCAAAATCCATTTGCTTCGATTCGCTTTCTCTTCTGGAGAAAGCAGAAATTACGGCGATGTTTTAAGGTTTATTCTATCAATATCATAGGCATATGTCAGCAGCTGCATACTCTTGGGAAAGAGATTGCGTTGTTTATTTAGCTCTGCAGCTCTTATTATTTTCTTCAACATCAGATATGAAGAAATCAGACGATAAAGGGTCACCCAGTATCGTTTGGTACCGAACGAATCGGAGAGGTGCTTCTCAATTCTTACTGCGCTTCTAGATTCAAAACCATATAAGTTGAGGATACCAACTTCAGATATAGCAGCGTAGAGGCAGCTTCTTCAGCTTTTTGTGCTGTCAAAGGCAGCTTTAATGAATCGGTGATGTGCACCCTTTATTTTCTCACGGTTCATTTCCAAGATTTTTCGCGTGATCGATTTACCTGGTCTTAAGCCAAACTAATAAGATCCAATCATTTTCTTGACGGTGGGTACGAACCGGATCACACTTAAATTCCAATCGCCGGGCATGTTTCTGTCGGCAAGCTACTCGATCTGCTGCTGAACCACTTCTTGAAATCTTCGTAAAGTACAATACATAGATATTCCAGATGTGCAAAGTATTCAGAACGAGATTTGCGATTAACGAAATGGTTTACGAACGGCTTGAAGAAAATGGGAAAATATTGAAAATATACGCCCAAAATATTGAGGCTGTAAGAAAATTATGCCCGAAATTCAGCTGAAATAAATCTCCCTATAGGCAGTTTGTGAATCAATTTATGCAGTGAGTTCGTCAAATCCATTTTCAGATAATAAATTTAATATTTAATCTTAGAGTGAAATAATGTGAGCTTGAAATGATTATGAAAGGTATTAAAGCTTCGGCATGGCCGAAGGCAGTTCAGCTCTTCTTTCTTGTTTTCAATTTCCCTTCTACTTAAATTTAAATTCGAAGCTGTTCATTGTTATTTGTCGAGTTCTGCAATAAAAAACAGTTTAGTGTTTCAGAGATGAAATGTAAGCAATAATGTAAATAATGAAGTAAATCAATCTGTAAAATCGGTTCCTCTTTTTCGAGCTCCCCAGTTCCTATTGGAATCAAAATTAATACACAACCGATTCGTGTTTGTAGAACAGTCCATATGTGACCTAACCTTCACTACCTCCCTGCGGATTAGACATTTGAGAATTTATACGCGGCAAGGCAGACCAGTCCTAAATGGTGGGAAAAAAGACAAAGAGTTCCCCTGAAAATCAGGTCTTTATACCGAAATGAAGGCCACGGTAGCCGAGTGGTTAGCATTGCGTACTGACACTCGGAAGGCTTGGGTTGATATCCCGGTGCCAACAACAATCAAAAGTTATGGAAAATTAATTAAATTAAAAAATTACCATAAGTTTTCTAATTAAGGTTTCCCCTCGGCAGGTGTTGTCCACCCCTCCGAGTGTATATCGGAATTGAAAATCAAAGGTCCTCTTAAAAAAACCATCAGCCGTTCGGAGGCGGCTTAGTATAAACTGTAGGTCCCTCCATTTGTTGGAAAAACATCAAGATGCGCAACCACAAATTGGAGGAGGGGCTCGGCCGAGAATCGCTTCAGCCAATCATATATATACCGAAACGAGTTGAGTTTTAATATGGCCAAGGATTATCACTACCGCAATGTTCTTCGAAAAGTAAGATATGGTGAATTCCGGTTCGATTAGACCTCAAGAAATTAGTATTCATTAAATTCTTTGAAAACTTTAAGATTCCTCGAACAGAAATATCATAGAATATGATTGTATTTTTAACATTCCAGAGGAGTTCATAACTAAAAAGGATGCAATTTATCCTTAAAATGTTGCACTTAATATTTTTATAAAAAAAAAACAATTTTTGAAATATGAATAAATAGTTTATTTAACTTATGTATTAACAATACTAAAATCACAGCCGCTTGAATATTTTTAAACAAGATTTCAAAGAATTACTTTCCGCAACCGCAACCATCAGCTAGGCAATCTTCACGAAAAGATTTCTTGAAGAGTGTGACGACACTCGACTCAGCCGCTGCTAATTCCAACACAACCATAGCAACGATTATTGACTTGATCAACTGAAATAGAGAAGGGAAAAATATTTTAATTTTTATTTAACAACAAAAATTGAATTTTCAATTTACCAAAGCGCGAAAGGTGAACATTTTTATTATTGAAATTTATTTTTGTTTGGAAAGTTTACTTTCTAGGCCTCCGAAGTTTTTTCATAAACTGAATATGCATATGAGTTTCAGCTAATATATTTACATTGAAAATTGAAATTCGTTTGGAGGCATAAAATACATGTAATGCCTGCTGAACGTGTCGCAAATCTTGATACGTCGAATGCGTGGCGCAACGTCAAGTCGGCCGAACGGGGAGCACTGAGGTTAGAGCAACTGCCTAAAAGTAGGCTAAACATTTTTTTGTTTGGTGGCAAGCTCTACGCTTTTGTGCCGGGTCAACAAAGTATGTATGTAGGTCGTGTACTTGAACACGTCACATTGACCGAATTTCGTATTTCAATTGTAAACTTTGCTTTTCCAGCAATTATACTTCCGTAAGTACATGTACGTACATGCATAGATACATATGTATGTATGTACATACTATATGTAAGCGTAATAGCAATGAATTGCTGTAAAACAAACATTTGCTTGCACAAAAACTCCACAACATTTACTGCTTGTTTCATATTTCAACTTTGTTTGAAAACTCACTCACTCTTTTTTTATTTATGAAATTTATTAAAAATTTAATTTTTTTTTTGCATAACAATTTTTTTATCATATTTTTTTGTTTTTTTGTATATAAAAAATACCAAGGCAGCAGAAGTGTGATGTAGGCGTTTGAAATGAAATTTTTACAAATCAACTACCGGCAAATATACATACGTTTGTATGTACGTTGGTACATATGAGTATGTTTGCAGACAGAAGTTGATTGTTTTGCTGTCATGCGTTGAAAACTTTTTGAGTGTAAGAATGTACAGTGGGTTGAATGCAAGAAAAAGGCGCACATTTCACTGTGGTTTGACTGTGCAAAATAGCATCTTAATTGTACTCATATTCTGAAAATGTTGTCTTATTATTTTGTTGAGGTCAGTAAAATATGTATAAATTATTTTAAATAAATATTTAAATTATTTAAAATTCTAATAAATTTAATTTATATTGAAAATTTTAAACATTTATTTTCAAACAACAAATTTCATGGAACATAAATTTTTGTTCAAATAAAACTGATCTACTTCTGCTGACGTTTCATGCAGGTCAATTAACTAACAAAATAAAGCTTTCAATTACAATACTAAATTGTGGTCTCACACATTCAATTACATTGAAATAATTAGTTTTTGAAAGCTAATAATGTTAACGTCTCGTTTTTGTGTATATTTTTAATGGTAAAAAATTTAGAACTTTTCAAACTGAGCGGGACAGTAGATAACAGAAATGTTATGCGGTCTTCAATGAGGCAATGCATTCTTCGGGCTTGGTATTTTTCACAGCTGACAACTTAATTCACACCGAGTTTAGTTCGCCATTTCATAATGAACAGACTTACTACGGTACAACGTTTGCAAATCGTGCAAATTTCTGACCAAAATAATGATTCGCTATTGATACCGTAGAGCAGAGTATCGAAGCAGACCCGAATGGGTACAACTCTCAAGACAGCCGGTTCTACGCATTGGGGTTGAAACGGATTTTATTCGGCCAAGGGCTGTTACTCTTGCGGCAACGTAGCCGCTACAACAAGAAACACAACCCGAATGAGTACAACTGACATCGCGCGCATTGGAATCGTACCAATTCGTATTATGAAAGATTTAGGTTTGTGCGCTTAGAGAATCCAATCGTGAAATAAATACATGTCAATGACCATTAAGCGCATCGCACATTCGGTGAACGGATAAATAACAATAAGGCGCCTTCGATCCCGAGTAATAAAGTTAACTTTTGGTTTGAATGTGCACTTTTATAAATAAAATTTTCGTATTTGGTGTGTTGATAATCATGCAAGCCATTTTACTTACTTACTTTACTGGCGCAGACACCGCTTATGCGATCATGGCCGATTTAATAACATTGAGCCACCTGGTCTTTCTAATGGAGTGGAGGTCTTCCTCTTCCTCTGCTTCCACCGGCAAGTACTGTATCGAAAGCTTTCAAAGCTGGAGTATTCACATCTCTCGAAAAGTTCTAACGCCGACTTATGAGATCGTCCATGCCTCCGCACCATATTTCAGGACGGGAACGATGAGGGGCTTGTAGAGTTTGGTTTTTGTTCGTCGGGAGAGGACTTTTACGCCATTTTACGTCATTAAAAACTCACTGTTCGGTGTGTTCTATGAACAGATCGAATCATTGGTATATATTTCTTTAAAAATGTAGCCGGGTTATCCATAACCGAAAATAAAATGAATTTAAAATAACTTTTCATGAAAATCCAATTTTAGTTATGGAGTGTGAGTCTTGTGAAGCACTGCTTCCTTCAAATGAACCCCTGGCGAATTTTTGCATTTTTTGAGGTATTTTCGAACACTTTTTGGTGCAAGATCAATAATAATTTGACGAATGTTGGATTCCAAGTTGCCCAAGAGTTAAAGGTTTATCAGCATAAGCACGACGTTTCACGAAAAGTAGTCCAACGGTGTCAAATCACACGATTTTTGTAGCCAATTGGAATCAACAATACGAGAGATTACGTGCCATACAATAAGACCATGTTGTTGAAACCGAAATACTGTCCAAGGCGTGTGCTTCAATTGAAGGCAAAAAAAAGTCGGTTATAATGCCACCATAACGTTCCGAATTGATAGTGGCAGTCGTTTTCTAAGAAGAAAGCTCCAATCAGAACAGAATCACATATGCGAAAATTTTACATTCGTCTAAACGCCGAATGAAAAGTGTGGCTCATCGCTGGATATGATTTTGTGCGAAAGAATGCACCAGCTCTTGATAACATTCGGCTACACTTTCTTTTACAGCGATATTTGCGGTGGAACGAGCAAAACGATGATGAACTATTTGAAATTTCACCAATCTCTTTAGATTATGTGCACCATAATCTTCTCTTTAGGGGTTACAAAGGTCTTGAAACTTCAAAAAATTTATTTGTTTTATATTTTTTTGTATAAAAGTACAAAGTGTCCGGAATATTGTCTCCAAGTTTCCAGTCGATCGAGACGAAATTGAAGAAATTAGAGAATTTTATAACCCGCCGTCTTTGGCTTGACAGATGGCTACACCTCAAATGCGTTTTTCTTAAAACCACAGTATCGAAATCGGTAGTCAAAATTCCTCAACGACTACTGAAGCGATCGAGTTCAAATTTTCTACACTTCATTTAAGCATCTTTTTGTAGTGCCTGAACGAAGGATTTATTTTATCATAGATTTCAACTCATTTTACAAGTCAATATGTGACCTTCTTTTATGCCAAAAATGACGTTTTTTGTAGAAAAAACGCTAAAAAAATTCAATTTTTAATTTCTTTAATTTTTCTTCGTTCAGGGACAAGAAAATTCAACTACTTTAAGAAAAAATTAGGATTTTTAATTTCAGTTAAAAACTGAAAAAGTTATCACGACTAACGCGAAAGCACTTTCTTGTGGACGGTCTACTTCACAACACTGCCAACGTCTTAACTTACACCATTTTTCATTCAAATTTTCAACAAATGTTGTTCACATATTTTACTTTTATATGTAAACAAAATAAATTGTATACTTTATTTAGTAACTTTTAAAAAAATCAGAGAAAATAAGCTTTTTTTTTGCCTTCAAGACCTATGTAACCCCTTAGAGCACAAAACTTGGCTACATTTGATTTAGAGCCCTTGATGCATCGATGATCGGGCAATGCGAGCAGCTCAAAACTCGCTCGATATTTGTTGGTTGTTTAACTGCTCGCATGTTTCTTAGATATTATTCAAATATTTTTTATTTGCTTGTCAAAAAAAGAAAGAAGTAAATAAATTTTTTCTCAAAATACTCGAATGAGCTTGAATTGCTCGAGCTTGTAACCTTAAATCTCAAGCTGATCGATAATGTTCAAACAAAATCTTGAACTCTGGCATGAATCGCCATTTTTGTAGTAGGCTATGGTTGTTAAGCGATAAATGACTTTTAACTAGAAAAAAAGAACATATTTGACTTAATGAAATGGATAAGCTTGTATTTTAGGTTAGATCTCCAGCAGAAGATCGGTGAAGACCGTTTAAACGAGTTTAATTTATGCTTAGCGTAGATAAGGTATTTATTATTATTATTTTTTTTTTTAATATTATTGTACAATTTTCAATGGAAATTATTGTGCTGTGCTGAGCAGATTGGGCGCCACTGCATAAGCTATGAGATTGTGTTTATACGCTGTAGGTTATTGGAGGGTTTGAAATTAAACATTTTTTATAGTACATACAAATTTTAAAATAAATTTGTTAATAAGCCTTTTTTTAGATAAAATTTATAGAATTTATTATTATTTTTGAAATATGAAGGAATGTAAACAAATAAAATTTTTCTAAAACTTTTTCTGAAATTCTTTTCTCACATATAAATATATTCTTAAATATGTACTTATATTAAATATATATATATTTACATAAATATTTTTCTATTTGTAAATATTTTTTTTCGCCTAAAATAAATATTACAGTTATTACACTGGGCTCACGTTGTAAAATACGTTTAATCGCTATATTAATTACATACATACATATGTACATACTCAAGTATAGTCGAATGTTTATATTTCATAATGAAATTCAAATGCTACAGTATGCAACAACAACAAATTTTAGCGGTAGCTAACAATATTTTTTTTTTTTTTTTTTTTTTTGTAAAAAATATTGAAAAGTTGCGTTAAATTAAAAAAAGGCCTCATTACTCATACATACGTGTATTATGTAGTCGAAAGGTGAATTTCAGTATTTGCCATTTCAAAATGGAAACAGTTACATACGCGTATGTTATGTATGTGTGTATGACGACGCCCGCGCATACCCCTTTGGCACGGCGCGAAACCGTTTTGTCACGTATAGTCCAGAAGTGCAAAGTGCCTTAATTTAGCTATAAAAACTTAACAAAACTCAATTTTAAACACATTCAATAATATTATTAAACTAGAATTACGCAAAATGAATAGATTCCTTGTAAGTGAAAATACTATTATTATTATTATTATTATTGAAGAGTCGACAATTTAGCCGCTTCCTTTTCGCACTTCTCTGCCTCAACACATTGCTGTAAATTTAACATTAACCCTTTGTTTCCTTCATCTCACTTACAGTGTACCTTTGCCGCTATTGTCGCCGTTGCCAATGGTTACGCAGTTGGTGGAGGTGGTGGTTATGGTGGTCGCGGTGGTAGCGGTACCGTAATCGGTGGACAAGCCTACCAAATTTTGCCTGCTTTGCAAGTGCAAACTATTGCTGCCGCTGGTGGCTCCTCAGCTGGTTATGGTGGCTCCTCAGCTGGTTATGGTGCATCGTCGGGTAGCTATGGTGCATCGTCGGGTGGTTACGGTGGCTCATCGAATGGATATGGTGCGTCCAGTGCACCATCGATTGATATTGGACAATTATTGGCCGCCGTTGGTGGTGACCTTACCGCACAAGAAGCTGCCCAATTAGTAAATTCTTTGCCTTCAGCTGGCGGTCCAATCATTGACACCAGTGGTTCATCGGCTGGTAGCAGCCATCAAGGTTCATACCCTTCGGGCGGTAATCTAGCTTATGTTATTCAATCTGGTGGTAGCTCATACTCTGCACCAGCACCTGCTGCTTCATACAGTGCCCCAGCACCAGCGCCAGCTGCTTCGTACAGTGCTCCAGCTCCTTCTTACAGTGCTCCAGCACCAGCGCCAGCTCCTTCTTACAGTGCTCCAGCTCCTTCTTACAGTGCTCCAGCTCCTTCTTACAGTGCTCCAGCACCAGCGCCCGCACCAGCTGCATATAGTGCTCCTGCACCTGCTGTATACAGTGCTCCAGCACCAGCTGCATATAGTGCTCCTGCACCTGCTGTATACAGTGCTCCAGCACCAGCGCCCGCACCTGCTGCATATAGTGCTCCAGCACCTGCTGCATACAGTGCTCCGGCTCCTGCTGCATACAGTGCTCCTGCATCATCTGGCTATGGTGCCTCAGCTCCTGCCGCCGCTGCTCCAGCTGCAGCACATCAGCCATCAGCAGCCGCTGCTGCCAGCTATATCTCAGGCAGTTACGGTGCTGCCTACGCACCCGCACCCGCCCCTGCTGCTGGTGGTGCTTATTAAATCTGTGATATTAAATATTTTCACTAAATTCAGTGTTCGATCAAAAGTATAGAATAAAACGCGATATTTCGAACAAAGAAAATAACAAACGATTTTTGTTACTTCAAGTGTTTTATATACTTTGGGGAAAAAGCATGGAAATCGCTTTTTGGAGTGGCTTTTTCAGGGGCGCTAATCTGTAGATAAAAGCTCGTTGTTAAGTTTTTTAATATTTTTTTTTTTGAAATCGAGTGCTGTCTTTTATATACTGAGTAATATATACATGCATAAGTATATATATGTAATGCTTTACAATTAGTGATGGGAAAATATCGATAATTATCCTCTTAATGCGGGGAGTCACTCAATACTCTGCACCCAGAACCCACATTGTCGAGTAATGCAGTGTGAGTTAGAAAACAGAGTTGAGCCAACTTTGAAGAACGAACTAAAGTGAGAAGCTTCATCAACCACTGTATAGAGCTAGATTTTTTTTTCAAATTTCGAAAACATTTGTAATTTTCCAACTTTTACAGTTTTTATTTGAAGAAGAGACACTCAGAGAAATTAAAATTAAAAAATGGTTCGACTGTTTCAGATGCACCGCACGAACTCCATCACCGGCACTGTTTCACGAGTTCAGAGTGCAGCCGCTTCAAAAACTCATCACAACATTGGAAAATTCCAATATTTTTTTGATACTAAAAATTGCTTTTTGCAGCTTAAATATCGAATATTATTGACTGAAAAATTTTTTGAGCGCAATAATTTTCTTTCCATTTCTTCGAGTTCTAAGCCAGATTACTGACTTGAGTTAAAACAAAAAAAATTGAGAATTCCTGTAAATAATTTTGCAAAATGTTCTAGAATTTTTTTAATGATTCTCAAAGAATAGATCTTTTTTCTCGCATCGTAGTACGACTTTTTGAATAGTAAATTTTTATTTCGTAAGCAATAATACCTCACTAACGTTACGTGTTTGATATAAAAAAAATTCTTAATTTTTTTCAAAAGTCGTCATCAAACGTTCGAAAGTGACTGAAAGCCTTATTCTTGAACTGATTGTGTTCAAACAGGCATTCGAGTTGCAAGAATAGTATAATCGCAATTGAACAATGTACCTTGAGGTTGATAACGATTGAACCATGACGGGTACACTCTTTTTCGATTTAAAATTCAACAGAATGCTCCAAGCTTCGTTGCAGCTTAAAAGAAATAGAGAACAGATAAAACATTTTTCTTTTGACTAGAACCCTGCAGTTTCGTTTGAGCTCAAATAAATCTGTATATCGTTTAAGAAAGTATGCTATTTAGTGTTTCAAGACTGTTTTATGTTTTTATTTTTTTTTATATGAAAGGGTTAGACTTCACTGAAGCCTATAATACATACTAATGAGAGGTACAAACAGTACTACGGCTTGAATGAAGAAAACACTTCTTCTTCTTCGAAATTTCTCAAAAAATTTAGATAAAATACTGTTTAGTGATTATGACCGGCAGTTAACAGAGTTCAATCATTCTGTTGAAAAATAAACGATGCCATGGAGACCATTAATTATATTAAATTATATATATATATATAATAAATAAAACTGAAGTGAAAGTATTAAGGTGAGTAGTCAATATTAAGGTTGTATTCGAATTTTTCACATCAATAACATATTTATCTGCAAAAAGAATTATCAAGCCACATCGAAAGAAGTTAGATGGAATACAACTATACGGATGAGTCAAAAATAGCTGACATAGTGAACGCCGGAATCTACTGAGCTTAGCTGAAATTATGGCAACTCTTCAAGCTTATCTCACGGCGCAGGTCTTCGAGGTAAGAAGAGCCGCTGAGCTAGCTAACAGCACAGGAAGCCACATGAAAAACAGCAATATAGACGGCGCTTTGAAGTTGCGGCAATTAAAGCAGTAATTACGCATCGTTTTACGTCAGAAAATACCCTTAGAGCAGATAAGAACTTGATAAGGTGGCTGCAGGGAAACAACTGAATATCTACAGGATGCTCGGTCATAAGGGTAGCTTGTAAAAAGCGACGACTGACGAACCAGTACAAACGAAACGCCTCTGCAGCTACCGGGATAGTTATAAGACGGTTCAGAGTATGCAAATTATGTGTAATGGCAACAAAATAACACGCCCACTTTTTCCCATGCCATTTCGAAAGGAGTGTAGGACAACCCTGTAAAGCCCATTATTCAGTTTGCGCACACGTTTAACCTCATTCAGCCAATTAATTATGATTTTCACACAACGAATTCGTCGGACAACAAGACATTGCCAGCTCAGAGCTCGAACATCATTTGTCGCTTGGTTGGCTTGAACCGTTCAGTTTTTACTTGAAAAAAAAAATATTCCAACTACCACCGTAAGCTTAATTTATTTATCAGTACGAGACGTGTAGCGCAATGCGGCTAAAACAACAAAAAAAAATACCGTAATTTTAACTCAAACTCCCAATGCTACCTGCTAACCGATTGACGACCAATAAATAAATTCTGCCTGTCTACAATACAACTAAAAATATTGGTAATCTTCACGGCCTCTAGGTGGCTACTGCGACGGTGTTGTTGGAAAATCTTCTTTGAACGTGTCACGTAACAGCTGTACAAGTGGACGGATGGGCGAGTGAGACATTTCGGTTGCGGCATATAAAAAGCATTTGAAATATTATGGCCAATTAGTAGTCTATGTTATTTCGGAGGTAAAAACAGAAGACACACAACAACCACCGAAATGCAACGATTCATTGTAAGTACGCAAGCAATTCAGTTCACTTTCTATTGCTTTTTAATAACTATTTTTTTGCAAATCTTCTCATTGTTGTTTGTATTTACATTTTTTTGTCTTTATTTTCCACAGTGCGCCATCTTTTCTATGCTCGCTCTAGTGCATGCTTCTCCTTATGGAAGCAGCAGCGGTAGCTACGGTGGATCAGCTCCAGCTCCAGCACCAGCACCAGCGCCTTACAGCAGTGGTCAGGTTGTGATTTCATATGAACCTCCAGTTTTATATAATATTCCAGCACCAACGGCTTGGAATTTATCGCCTCGTCATGCCGGTGCAGCGTTGACACCAGTTAATGCTCGCACCATCTCAGGAGATGGCACACCTGGCTCTTTGGTCGGCATTTCATCACAGCCTAGCGCTGCTGCTGCTGCTGCTTCCGCTAATGTACCATTAAATGCTGGTTCCTATAAGCTTTGGGTGGTGCCCTCCTATGAAGTACCCAATGTGGTGGGACCTACTAGCGGCTATGCTGGTCAATTATCGTATGGTGGTGGTCAATCATACGGCGCTCAAGCGCCTGCCGCTCCATCTTATGGCGCCCAATCATCCAGTTACTAATTGTTGTCGTTGGCTGCTTGAAATTTGAAATAAGAGAAACTTAAATTGAAATATAAGCTCTAAGAGCAAAGTCCTTAATTTATGCATACAATTTTGTTTTATTTTGAAGCTTTTTTTTATGGCTATCGCATACTAAAAGAGTAAAGTTTATAGTTTATTCTAAGCCAACCTTAACCAATCGATGAATTTTTTCATGAGATGTTTCTAACTCAAACCATAAATACACTCGGGTGACTTGATTGCGGCGGTACACCCACAATTAGAAAAATGAATTCTCTTTAATTTTGGCCGTTGGTCGAACCAGGATTAGAACATTGGTCGTTGGAATTGTGGCACGCTTACCAACCACGCGGCTATAGACTTTTTGGTTCTTTGCAGGTGCGGAATGGAGGCACAATTTCTTTTGAGCTTAAGAAATTGTCGTGTAGTACGTTCATGTTTTTTGCAAAGTTTTGGATTGTTTTGATCTCCAATTTTAGCACTTCTTCTCTTTGAACTGCAAACCTCATGTGTAGATAGGACCGCACAGTAGCAGAGAAGGTATTTCGACGTCTCGTTCATGCCGTCCTCCCCATACTTTCTACAAGCGTCTCGGAAATTTCATTGCATGGCGTCTTTAACGATTTTATTATTTCATATACTGGTTCGGTAGCCAGACAGAGGGCTCGCAGTGGACGGCCTTCTGAGCTTGATGATGATGTTCTAACTATGTNACAATATGTAGAGTTTTTTATTCATTACAATTTAACTTTTCTGGTTTTCCTCAAACTTTTTGTAAACTCAAACCTAGTTTTAAGGAAATCATCTAAAAAGCACCACAGAAATGCAAATTAAAATTTAAAAAATAATACGAAAATAATATTATATGATTTTTGCCAGCATTGTATGTACGATATTTCTTCGTGAAAAATGCTGAGACACCTGTAAATAATTTTATTTACAAAAGTGTTCAGTAAATAATTTGCAAAGCATTGTAAGTTTTTCATGGTTACGTTTTACTTTTTATCATTTTTTTTTTGATTACAGTGATAAATTTTTTCATATCTTTTTGTTATTTAGGGTTATCCATTTCGTTGTTTCGAAAGTAGAGGGTTTCATTTAGGAAAATGTATCGCATAACAACCGCCCAAGCCTTCTACAGAGATGGTGTTTCAAATGTAGCCGCATTTCGTGCTTTAAGAGGAGTGGAGTTTATGGTGCACAAAATCATTCAATTACTCAAGAAATCGGTAAATTTTTAAAGAAAATGGAAGATAACAGATCGGTTACAGATATTATAAGGTCCGTATATAATCGTTTTGCTCTTTTCACCTCAAATACAGCTGCTGTAAGTGAAGCTGTGGCCGAAGACCCGAATGTGTCTATTTCTCGATGTTCTCAAGAGCTGTGAGTTTTTGACGGCACATTACGGTGTAATTTTCACTTGAACTTACACCCTAAATCCCTTGAAAGTCCAAAGCACATACAACAACTGAAGCCAGCTGGCCATTGACAACAGTAGACGGCGATTTCTCTAACACAATTTTCTTCAACGGCGATGCATATTTCTCTCAGGTACTTATTTCGGCAACCAAGCAAAATTTTTCCATTTGGAGCACCGAGAACCCTGGAATAATACCATCATACCCTACAAACTGTAGCTACCCCCATTTTGTTGCAGAAACATTAAGACGCAATACCACAAATTGGAGGAAGAGCTCGGCCGAAAATCGCTTCATCGGTTACAAAGCGCCAATTATATATATATTATATTATATCTCGATTTTTATGAAATGACTCAACTGATCGGTCGCTAGTTTTTAAACAATTTTCTTAGGTTTGTGGATCGGTTATTGAACGAAGGAATTTAATTATGAAATTTAGTAATTTTTATATATTTACTCCGAACAATGTTTTCATAAATACAGCCTTGGCCAAAAGTATTAGACACCCCACTAATTACTCAATTTCTTGTTGTAACAAGTGAAGTAATGAATTTTTATTAGTAAAACAGTAAAAATACAATGAATTAGTGATAATAACATTAATATTTAGTAGGTCCACCCTTCGATTTAATAACGGTAGCAATTCTCTTAGGCATGCTGCGTACAAGCTTTGCACATTCGTCCACCCTTATGCGTGCCACTTGTTAATTGAGGTTAAAGAATGGTTTTTGATGTTATACTGTGTTCCTAAATCTTGCGTTTTAAAATAGCCCACATGTGCTCAACGGGATTAAGATGAGCAGACTGTGCAGGCCAATCTAACAAAATAACGCATCGTAGTCGCTGATTTACGACAAGGAGCGTTGCCTTGCTGAAATTGAAATTGAAACCGTCCAAATTAGTATCGCCGAAAATGTGCGTTAACGAAGGCAGAAGAACAGCTTCTAATACATTTATGTACTTTTGATTGTCGATGAGACCCGAACAAACGAACATTTCGCCCATACGATCAACAGTCATGCAGCCCCAGATAATAATGCTGCCTCCTCCATGCTTAACAGTGGGTAACACGCAATCTGTATGATATTCTTCACACGAACGTCCCACCAGGTGTTCCAAATATTTGTAGAAAAGAAAAAATAATGTTTTCAGATTTGTATTAAGTCTTCAAAATTGCTCTAGGGTAAGAAGCTATGGCTGTTAATACTTTAAGACGACCTTAACTAAGCTTACCTTGAAGTTTGATTCATCAGACCACAGAACATTCGACCAATCTTCTTCCGTGAAATGTTGGTATCGGTGTGCTCATTCCAAACGGGTTTTCCTATTCTTTTCTGAGAGCCACGGTTTCTTTCAGGCTTTATTTACATCCTTTTCAACCAGCTTTCAGAAGTCTTCGTCTAGCTGTTCGAGCTCTAAGTGGTTTGCTAAATTCATTCGAAAGAGCAGCTGTACGAGCAGAAGAAGACGTTTTTTCGTAGAGCCGATCATGTTTCTTTATTTTATGTTAGTAAAAAGCGGAGATCACCGCAAATCGTCATTTATCTTAGGGTCTTTTGGGACATTACATGTATCTGTTTTGCATATTAAATATTTTTACATCAACGACGGTCTTTTTCATATTAAAAATAAAAACTTTATTTAAATTTTCTTCATTTGGTATAGATAAACAAAAACTTGTCTTATTAGAATTTCATTAAGAGGTGTTATTTTAACTTAAAATAAGTATTCAAAATATTATGTTTTTGAATTGAATATTAAATTAATTTTTTGCAGATTTTCGTGTTTGGTATTTTTTGGATTGACGAACTCAATTTTATTCTTGCCAAATTCATACATTTGATATTTCGAGGTCTCAGTTCGTCTACAAAGTTTGGAAAAATTTTGAACTATTTTTATATATAAATAAATTTTAAACTTTATTAATAATATATTTTTTCTATTATTTATTTCAATAATCAAAATTAATTATTTCATTAAAAAATTTTAATTACTCATATAGTATATAGGTATAGTATTGTAAATACCTACTCTAAACGAGTTTTATTTTAGCTTAGATAAAAGATATCTTTATCTGCATGAGAACCTTTATTTATGAATGAATCTTGAGTTCGCAATTCAGCAAGAACTTTGACCTACATATATACAAACATACAGTTATTAATTGTATTATATAAATATTCTAGTCAAAAGTATGTATGCCAAATGGTAAATGCCTCACTTCAGTCAAGTGTTGCAGAGTTCATAGTGCACCGACTTATCAGGTGATAAGAAATTGCCCATTTCGAGCAAGCATATTAATTTACAATAGTATTATTTTTGCGCTTAAATCACCTCGCTGTATGCCTATGAATAATACATAATTAAACTCGACACTCTTCGATAGACAAAGTGAACGAATGCGAGGTGAAGTTTATCTTGACTTCATGCCACCACAGAGTTTTGAATTCGCGTGTTTTGTTGTGTCAAGCACTACACGAAGCTCAGACGCAGACTGAGACTGAGACCAAGCCATAATGGCATCAATGATTGATTGTCTCAACCCCACCTCTTCCTCTTGGGCCAGCGCATGTATTGAGTAGAGAGTAATCAAATAAAGAATTTTACTCAGCTTAGCTGCAGAGCCAAAGAAACTGAAAATTCGGTTGACAATCTTTGTGAGCTCAGAATAAAGCGGTGTTCTTTTTTTTTCTGCATAAAATAAGTACAGTGAAGAACGCTTCGTATAGCCATTTACGGTCCAGCTGTCAATATATATTTATGGGTATTTATGATTTGAGATCACGTTTTGCATTTTTCGATTTTTGTTTGCTTATAAAAAGAAGTGCGCCGCGTTTGTTTTAGTTATTAGTACGAATTGTGGAAGAAGCCAAAGAACTGCACACAACTCAAAACTCGCCGAACCGCTGAACCGCTGAACCGCAATGCATATCAATATGAAACAGTTCATGGTAAGTTTTTATTGTTATTTTGTGACCGTGTGTACGACGGCTCTAAATACTTCCGATGTACTGACGTCATATTTCCCTATTTACAGTGTCTTTCTTTGGCACTTTTCGCTTCCGTCGCTGTGGCACAGCCCTATGGACAATCTCCGGCATCCTATGGTGCACCAGCACCAGCACCAGCTCCTGCTGCCAGTCTTGCCAGTTTGGTGAATTTGGAGGCGCTCGAACGGTACCTAAATGCTCCAGCTCCAGCTCCAGCAGCGTATGGTGGCTCTAGCACATATTCTCAGGCAAGATATGTTTCAGCTGGTGGTTCGCCCAGCGCAGGTCCAGTAACTTCAACTAGCTACAGTGCTGCACCAGCATCTTCGGCTGGCAGTTCTGCGCCGTCCGGTGGTTATGGCGGTTCAGATGAGCCAATTCTTTTTGTCAATGAAATACCTGCCGCTGGTTACTCATCATCTGGCGGTTACTCAGCACCCGCACCTGCACCTGCTGCTAGCTATTCCGCTCCAGCTCCTAGCTACACTGCACCAGCTCCTAGCTATTCCGCACCAGCTCCAAGCTACTCTGCTCCAGCTGCTACCTACTCTGCTCCAACTGCTACCTACTCGGTTCCAGCTCCCAGCTACTCTGCTCCAGCTCCTAGCTACTCTGCACCAGCTCCTAGCTATTCCGCACCAGCTCCAAGCTATTCCGCGCCATCTTCTAGCTATGCTGCACCTGCTCCAGCCAGCTATTCAGCTCCCGCTCCCGCTCCTGCTGCTGGTTATGGTGCTGCCCCATCATCTGGTTATGGTGGTGCTTCTGCTGCTCCCAAATACACCGTACTCCCAGCAACTATTACACAGCTCAACCCCGGCAAGACTAGCTACAAAACCTACCAGTCTCCCATCCAATACAGCACTGTCACCCTTCCAGTTGCTGCTGCTGGCCCTGTGGCCAATTTGTATGTACCTGAGAATGCCGGTGGTAGTTATGGTGCATCTGCTGGTTATGGTAGCAGCTCAGGTAGCAGCTCCTATGGTGGTTCCAGCTATTAGAGAAAAAAACAAACAAGAACTTAAGTCTTAAAGACGTTAGTTTTAGTTAATAATAGAACTGTTCAGAGTGCTTGTGACCAGTTATGAAAATTCCAAATTCAAAATTTTACTTTGAGCGAGTTTTGTGTGTAAATATTATTTGTTTGGCAAATCCTTTTTATATTCTTGTTTTTGGTGAATAAAAAATGAAAGATGTTTTTAAGATTAATTGAAAAATTGTTTTACTTACTACGGTTGGTTGGGATTGAATTGAATAGGAAATAGTTTTATTGTTATTTATGTGAAAGCATGGAAGTTCTTAATTTATCTTCGATGCTTCTTAGACCTCAGCCATCCCACTGTATATTGCATCGAAAGACTCAAAGTTTTACTGGTTGGACGAAGGAATATTACATCGTCTCATTTAGTTGGCACAGATGGTTTACTAAGGTAGTTACATCTGTTTAGACCTGACGCACGACATATCTCAGGCCTCCGTTGTCTGTTCAGTACGGCGCTACAGTTTATTTAAAGCTACCTCCAAACGGCCGTTGGCCTTTTATGAGGAGCTTTTATTTCAGGTCAGAAATACACTCGAAGGCTTGACATTCTCTCTGGAGGAGCGACCGTACCTAGAAAAATTAACTTATGTTGTTATTTAAATTGATTTCCCTGTTCTAAGTTGTACGTCGAATCTTTATTCGAACACAGGCTTTCCTAAATGGAGTACCTACTGCTTACCACTCGGCTTTTACGGTCGCCTTACCAACAGGTATAATACCTTAATTACAAGTAATAACCCTGAGAGCATCATTATGTAGTAGTTTTTAGTATTGGAAGATTATCTCCAGTTAAGATTGAACGTCTGGCTGATAAAACGTAAGATTGAAATCTTCATAAAATAATTCTAGCAGAGGTCTTGAGTAAAAGAACAAACTCCAAAGCGAACTCAGAAAAAGAGAAGCTCTCTTCGTTTTCATCTATGTAATTCTCAGGTATGAATATTAGAGACCTGAATTGTATTGCTTGCGGAGATCACTTTTGGAGCAATATCGGATTGAAATGAACCATAAGTTTCAGGAAAAATTAATAAAAAATTTAAAAATGATTGATGATCACCACATTTCGGACAACCTCGCACAGTGATGACCTTAATACCTTACTTATACTACAAAGTTTGGTGTTCAATTGAATGAGAAACCCTAATCTGGAACCCAAAACTCATGCCAGGATATCTGCGCTAGTGAATTAAAAGATATTGTAGAAATCAGACCTCAAACTGTCGCATAATAAAAAGTCTTAAGAAAAATAAAGATAAATAAAAAATACCTGAAGAGAGGGAAGGAATTTTATTTTGTATTCAAAAACTTGTGTTTGCAGAGAAAAAAGTTTTTAGACACTTTGAGTCGCTGAGGGCAATTTGACAACACTTGAATAAGGTTGGATCCACGTTCGATGTATGAGTGACACTTGAGTTAACGAGAAAAAACCTTCTGGACCGAATTTCCATCTGCGAATTATTGCTGAATCATAGCAAAATCGAACCATAGCTACGCCCATTATCGCACAGCTTTGACCAAAATAAAGGGAACTGTGATTCATGAAGACAACACCAGACCACACACATCGATGGTGATTTGTCAGAAGTTCAGAGAGCTTCATTGGGAGGTTGGTATGCATCTTATAGTCTCGACTTGGCTCAATTGCAGCAGATTATCTGAATATAGATATTTCATTCTCCGTTTTTGCTTAGGAAGAAGATGAGGAAGAAATTGTTTGAAAAAACAAAAACCCTGGTGATTTTGTCATAGGAGCAATAGAAAAGGTTCCGTTGCTAGTAAGCAAAGATCTCGAACTAGAACTTAGGAACGCCAAAGTGAGTGAGCTTACTGGTGTATTTACGGCTTTAAAAGATTTCGACATGCGCAAGTCAAGTTACGAAATTAACAATTGAGAATTTTAGTTTATCATTTTTTATAAAAAAAAAAAAGACTGTACGTTTCATACAAAAACCCACCTTCACACCACACGCAGAACTTTTTCATAGCCGAAATGCCAATGAACATACATACACAGCAGTTTTTTTTTTAATGTAATTTGAGTAATCAATACAACACAGACACTGTTAGTCGAAGCTAAAAGTTATCATCATTTAGCCAACTTAGCTTGAATGCAGCTCAAGACAATGACCGTACTGCGCAGCAGCATTTTTGAATTGGCGAACTACCCGCTATTCGGACTTTAATCTGTGGGACCTTTAGCTGCAAAAGCAGCTGGTGTTTGGCGCGGCCAAGCAGTCATGCATTCAAGCTTCAAATTCAATTCTAGATTTAGTCACGTAAGGCGGCTACGATCTTTCGTCGTTTCCAAGTACTCGCTATAAAAGCAAAATTATGTGTATGACGCCATGTTAGTTTACCATTTGCAGCGCAAAAACCACGCATTAGAATATAAAAGTGCCAAAGAGCTCGCTAGCGAACGAGGAAATATCCAACGAAAAAGCAAAAAAATTAAATTGAACAAACATGCTCCGCTTCACGGTTTGCTTGGTGGCCACGGCCGTGTGTATATGCACATCCGCGTTGGCTTCTCCACAATATGGCAGCGCTCCAACTCCAGCAGCATCCTCGTATGGCGGGAGTGGTGGTTATGCCGGTGCCGGTGCCGGTACGGGTGCCGCACCAGCAGCTCAGGTAATTGAATTGCCCGCCAATGTTGAAGCTCAAGCGGCCGCTTTGACAAATGCTGCTGGCGCTAAGGCGACAGCTGCCAAAATCAATGCACTCAAATGGGATTTGCTCAATTTGTACGGTTATGAAATCGGTTATCCATTGTTGGTGAAGAAATACGGACCATTGACCTCATTGTTCTCCGCCTCGTTGCCACCACGCAGTTTTGTTGGAAAGATCGATCCTGGTAAGTTTTGATGAAATGTTCAACAGATAATTAATGTCATTTAAACACGGAACTTTCAATGGATTTTAAAGCTTAGCTTTTCTAATTTAATTCTATTTTTATTTTTGCTTAAATTTTTTTTTTAATTACTTTTTAATTTTAAAATTTTAAAATTGTTTATTTAGTTTTTATTTTTTGTTGAATTTATTCATATAGTTCATTATCTAATTGCTTTGGTTTTTTAACTTTTTTGTACTAATTTTAAATTACTTTTTACTTTACTTGCAGCTTTCTTGAAAGACTCTTACGGCAAGATCAAATATGTTGGCGAAAGTTCGATCGGTGTTGCGGCAATTTAAAATGGCTGCGCCTAAAACGCGACTGTAAATTATTGTTAAAGTAGCTAAGAATAAAACTATAATTTTTTAAGTGGAAAAAAATTGTTAACGGATTTTATTTTAATGATCTTTTATAGATGTTTTTGTTTCTGATAAAATTTTGTTGGGAAAAATATTGAAGTCTAAAGATTGTTATTGAGGTACCAGCTGACCCGGCCACACGATAAAAAGCCCTCATTAAATAACAAGTTAATCCAAATATCAGGCCTAGTAAAAGAGTAACCCATTATTTATGCATTAACTTGAGGCAGTATTTTGTTCGAATTTGGAGATAATGCCATGATGCGCCTCTCAGGGAGGTATTTGTCCCTAATGGCAAAATTTTGGGCCAATCGATTTTTACAGACTTTTCTAGATGTAAATTTTTTCACCAGCTAAACCATACTCAATAGACACGAACAACTGGTAATTACCTGATGTAAGGTCCGGATTATGAGTTGTATGCGACGGAACCTTCTAACCAACATCTCGGAGCTTCTGACGGGTCACTATCGATGTGTGTAGTGTGGCATTGCTCTAAAGGAATACAATTGGCCAAAGCCAGACGCACCATTCGGAACTAAGCTGATTCACACTCAAGAAAAAGCTAATCGAGCCATGAATACTATTTTTTCGCATAGATCAGACCCTGGTGCCCTTTCTGGTGAAAAGAGATGTAGAGACTTTTCAACAATAAATCGTGGGTTTTCCGAGCTCCAGCCGTGAAAGCTTTGCTACATGACGTATCCAACGAGGTGGTAATGGTCCCCATCAGTCAAGATGATTTTTCGATGAAATTTTTATATTGAATTCTAAGTTTGTTTTTTAAGCGTGTACCGTTCCTTTTTTGTTCCTGGCGTAGATTTTACTTGCGAAATGTCAAAAAAATTACAGCTTCAAAAGTGGCATCTACCGGAATAGCAGACTATTCAAAATAACTCCTCTTATTGGAAAACACTTTATATTGATTTTTGATTTCATGTAGAAATTAATGAAAAATTGAATTCATAAAAAAAAAAAATAGATTTTTTAAGCTATGAAACCCATGTGAAGGAGCAGCGTGCGGTAAATACGAGAATTTGCTGTTGATCAAAAAATGAAATGAATTTGCAAAGCTTTAGTGAAAGCTTCTTTAGCGCGTGTTGAAAAAATGCAATGAAATATTTAGTATCGTTTTGTTTATTTTTTTTTGTTTAGTTTATTATTTTTAATTTATGCATTTATTTCATTATTTCATTTAATTAAATATATAAATAATGGTTTATATATGTATGTATGTATGCATGTTTGTATGTAATGCCATATAATGTACTGTATTACTAAAGCATTTTCAATATAAATACAATAATCATTATTAGTAATAAATATCATAAAATCATGAACATAATTATGTTATTTAGCATTTATTCTTTTGTTTTATTTTTTAGTAACTGCGCTACCTACATGTGTATATATGTATGTATGTGGGTGGGTGGGTATGTAAGTGATTCTTTTTTAAATATATTTATAATTGCTTAGATTTCATAACAAACAATTATAATAAATAAATAAAGTTAGTGATTTTGGGTTTTAGTTGGTCGAAAACTAAAAAATGAAAATAAGTGAATAAAAAATATCAAAAAAAAATAAATTAATTTTTTTTTATAATAATTATTTATATATGCATGAAAGCCAAGCATTTAAGCAAATTCATTACGATGGATTAATGTTGAATTGAAAGCTTACTTTTCACTTTTATTTTGAGAGTTTTAGTTATAATTTCGAAATTTTGTGGCTATAAGCGTGTTCTACTAACTGTAAATGTTGCTTTGGTCAAACTATATGCATGTAAAAATACATCGATGGAAGCTCGTTATAATGTCAGACAAGCTTTCCAATAGCAAATCAATACATATTGGATTTTTCTGGTATCAATAAATTTCGTTTATTTATTTTAAATATTTTTCATACTCGAAAAATAAAACGCTATAACCGTTAGTTGATTTCCAAATTTGAAAAACCATTAAATCAATATTTTTCTTTATTTGAAAAATAACTAAAGCAACTAAATACGTCTAAAAGCTTCCAGAAATCTAAAACGCCTTGAAAAGGTTGCTTCATTTTTGTTGTGCTTTGCGCTTTCTCTCTCTCTCTCTCGTTTGATTGGAAGGGGATAGCTTACATTTATTTCATATTGTTTTGTTTTTGTTTTTTTTTTTTTTAAAAAAAATCTCAATTACACGCTATAAATAAATTTTTTTTTATAATTTTTTAATTTTATATTCTTTTAACAAAAAAATATGTGTGTTTTTGTTTGTTTGTTTGGTAACAAAAATTAATTGTAAATTAAATAGGACATAGTTTAAGTTAAGTTTATTTATTTGTTGTTCATTTAATTAATTAAAAAATACATGAACTGCTCGCTTTGATGGTTTCTTTACTGGAACTTTCCCCGGGCAGCAAACTTATATACACACAAATATATGTATGTTTATGTGGATGAAAGCTTATAGAAATAAGCAACTTGAAGACCGAAGTAATTGTCGTTCGTTGTTGTTGTTATTGTTGCTGATCTTCTCATCATTTGCCATTTTCCATACAGTTCTTTCTAATTCTTTGTTTTCGCTGTTGTTGTTGTTGTTGCGCTTTTCTTCATTATCTCCTACGTTACTTCGTACGTAAACTTTAAAATTATAATAAAAATGTTCACTTGTTTTATGATGTTGTTGTTGTTGTTTTTTTTTTGTTTTTTGGTTGTTTGTTTTGTTTTTGGTTTTCTTAAATGTGCGAATATCTAATTTATTCGGTGATCGTTCTTGTTGTCTCCTGAATATAAACCTGGGAGCCGGGAATAGTGGAGGTGGTGACGAATGTACGATGCTTGGCACGAATCATGTTCAAATTGGTTTCGGCGCAGTCGGCACGATCTTCGGCAGCTTCGAGTTCACGTTGGAAACGGCGTACGCGTGTCACGGACTGTTGAGACATGCCCTCCTAGAGAGTGATGGTGAGTGGTGAGAGAAAGTGAAAGTTTGGTTTAACAACGGTAATTTAAGCAAGCGTGGAAAGAGGTTGAAAATCGATAATTTCTTTAAAGAAAACTGTATAGTTTTTAGAAAACAATGAAACTGTGAAGGGCTGATCTTCAAAGATTGGTATAAGAGTTGCAGTTAAAACTAATATTTCTGAAGCTTTTTAAAGTTTTTGTGGAAGACAGAGTGTCTGCGGCCTGGCATTGGCTTACAACGTTGAGTAAGAGCTAGAGTTGAAGTCTTGTATACATCTTCAGCGTAGAAAGTTTCTGCTCCTCAGACCGTACGCGAGTATCGTACGACTTTTCACAAGCTTTTTAGAAAAAGTTTCAAAGCAGAGCTGCACTTGAGGAATGAAAGCTGTAGTAAGAAACAAGTTTGCTGCATGGAATATGAGATCTTTAAAATCTCTCCCGAAAAGTCGAATTACGTCTTCCACCAAGAAATTGAAAATCAGCCTCCAAAGACCTGCGCACTCTCTACCACAGTAAGCGTAATAAAGCAAATATTGAAAAATGCAAGAATAAACGTTTATTTTTATTTAACTTTTCTTTCTTAATTCTCTTTCAGAATTCCAACCTATTCATTTCCAAACCAACAATTCCCTAGAGTTTATTTTTTCTCTTTCAACACTCTTTTTATCAACAATAGAATATGAATAAGTTGATGAAGATGTTGTTACCTGTTCGGCGAGTTGACGTTTGAACAAGTTAACCTTGGCGACAGACTTGTCCAAAGCTTCCTGCAACAAAATAATATTCTTTTGATCCTCTTCGCATTGTACCATGACCTCCTTGACGGTGCGTTCCTTCTTTCTCAAGATCTTGATGGTTTCGGCGTGTCTCCTCTTCTCTTCCTCCAATTCCAATTCCAAGTCACGTACGCGGGCCTCCAATTTGCTGATGATACGCTTGCTACCGGCAACAGCGTTGAGTTCAACCTCCTCCAAGCGGATGGACAAGTTCTGTGTGTCGTTTGAGCGGTGTATAAAGAATATTAAAATTTGATTTGTTTATTGTGTATAGACAAACAAATTTCCCTACCTTGACCTCAACCTCCAATGACTTCTTGATGGTTTCCAATTTGACGATGCGTTCTTGCTCTTCATGCACAACCTCAATGGTGTGCTTAAGCTCAACCTGCGGACATATAAAGAGTTTTTAAATTTATTTCCAATTATATGCTTAAAATTATTTCCGAAATGCACAAAATGATTTCGCCGCCCCACTACCTACCTGAACCTTCTGGTAACGTTCATCGCTAATTCTCAACTCCTTAGTGACTTCCTCGTAATCGGCAGCGACCACCGACAATTCTTGCTCCAACTTCGACTTCAACGACACCAAGTTGACGTTGACGGTGCTCAGTTCATTGATGCGGGTCTGCGCCTCCTCGTACTGCAATTCAACAGTGCGCTTAGCACGTACAGCGCTGTCCAAATGCGAGCGGACTTCTTCAAGTTCACCGTTGAGGGCAGCCAAGCGGCGCTGAGCCACATTGTACTGATCCAAAGTGGCCTGCAACTGGCGTTGTACATCCTCGTAGTGTGCTTGCAATTCGGTCAATTGCAATGATTGCTTCTTGATGACCTTTTGCAAATCGATATTGGTCTTATTGGCCACATCCAAGGACATTTCCAGTTCGGTGATTTGCACCTGCAACTTCTTCTTGATGCGTTGTACTTCGGTCTTCAAGCGGGTTTCCGCCTCAACGACGCGTGCATTCAATTGTTCGATTTCGATGGCGGTTTGCTTGCTGCATGGGGATTGAGAGTGCGAAAGTGTTTTAAGGTGGGGGAAAAATGTAATAAAATTCATTAGTAAATGTATAGTGCTGGAGTATAGTTTTTTTTTTTTTTTTTTTTACAAAAAATATGTCGATATTGTGTGTTTTGACGATTTTTGAAAAGTGTGCTATAGAGATTACCTCATCTTTGGTAATTAATTATTGTTATCGAATCCAATGAATTTTGTACTTTAAGTTTAATTTTGCTTCGCTATCTTGACTGGTTCAGCAGCTGCTTGATTCTTTGTTTGTTTATGTTTTGTGTTTGTAAAACAACTAGACATTTTTTCTGGCAATAGACTATAATTTGAGCAGCTGTTTATGTTATTTGGCCAATTGCCTTATATATTAGATCCTGCTTTCTGTCCCATCGTTTAGTGGGAACAGTTGCTTAATAACAGTGGCCTGACACTGTTAGACTCTCAGAGGAAGTTTTATTGAATTTTTTTAAATGAGCATGTAAAAAAAAAAACTTTTTTGGCACAATTAAAATTTTTTTAATGTTCCATGACTTCAGAGAGCTGAGCTCAGGCTATATTTTTCATGTAATTCTATTGCTCTAGTTTTACTTTCTAGTTCATTATTATTGTGTTTTCAGATTATAAACATGTTCCATGATCCATTATCTGAGATCAGGTTTAGTTTTAACTTTCTTTTTGCCATATTATTTTATTCAGAATTTACAGCTATGTTTCATAACCTCCAAGGTGAGTTTAAGATATATTTTCCCTTCTTTCTAGGAATGTTTTTTTTTTACGACGTTTAATTTTTTGATATCTTTTTTTGAATCAGTGTTATTTATCCCTCAGTAGCAATCCAAAAATTTAATAGTAGAATATTAATTTTTTAAAATTTTTTAATTATTCTTAGATTTTGCCTTATTTTTCAGTTTTTTTATTAATTTTTTTTTATTTAATTTATTTTTATTTATTTTTTTTTGTTAGTTGTTTAAAATTACGTTTCTTTTCTCTTTCCAATAGACAAACCAATATTTTGTTTTGAAAAATTGTGACCGCTTTTAAATGTTCAGCTTCAAGTTTTTTGGGTTTAGATCACTCTTGAATTTGAATTGATCTCGACATTACTAAGGGACGCCAAGAGACGATACTTCGCGACGAGTGATTGTCGCATTTGTGATCACTGGGCAGTCACCTCTCGAATACAATAATTTTTTAGGTTTCAAATTGAGCGTATATAGCTAAGTGTGTACCAATTTTTCTATTTAACCAAAACCGCATTAATCACAGATGATTATTTTTTTCATGATACTTAAATGAGCGTGAAGTTCTGCTGGACTGGAATTCATTCCGACATCACCTTTGAATTGATTTCAAAGTATAGTCTGGTTTGGTTATTGTAATTCTGACAACTTCAGAAAGAAAGATGAAGAATGGTTTATTTAATGGATTACAGATGACGCAATTTGTATGCCAAAAAGTGAGGTTACATGCAGGTTATTTCACCTTCTCATCATATCATGATTTTAAATCAAATTTCTTAAGCACTTGAAAATCTTTGACCTAATTTTAGAATACTTCAATTGGAGCCCGTTTCAATACTGAGATCATACTCGATTTTGAATTTATGATGAAATTGAAACATTTTCATTATTTCACAGTATGAAATCAAATGAGATTAGGGTTTCGAAAGGAGTTTTATAACTGCTTTACTGTATTTGGCTTGCTATAGATTAGATCATTCTATAAAGTTTTAGGATTTTCTTTTTTATAAATATATATTGTCTTTTTGACAGGGTAATTCCATTTCCATTTCATCAAAAATATTTTACTAAAATTTTGTACAGACTTTCGTTAGTCATTAATACTTCGCCTACTACTTATTCCCTCAGAATTATATTATACTGTAATATTTTATTCTGAAATTAAGGCCGATAGTATTTTGAAGTTATTTAATATCAAAATTTGTTATCTCAAAATATTTATACATTTGAATAGGCCATAATAAAATTGCTCCAATACACTCTAAGCTATATACCTGTGGGCAAAAAGTTAGGTGAATTTGTTTGTAAAATTAAAAATCTTTATTTATTCTTCTACATCGATTGCGTCGCCTTCAAAATTTTTCCCTGTCGATGCAATGCACTTATGCCAACGGTTTTTCCAATTCTCGATTCAATCGACTCAAAACGGTGTCATCGAAGTGGTCTCTAGACTTTTTGGAAGAGCCAGAAGAAGAAGAGGCATATATCCACGTCTCAATTCTTGTAGGCATGCATTTCAGCTTGGAAGCATAGTCTCACACATATCAACGCGACGACATTTTTCCATGAAATTGGCGTAGATGTCAATAACAGTGTCACCAACATTAAAACGCGCGAAGCTCAAATTAAAAATTCACCTTACTTTTTGTCTACATAGTATTTCTATTAAATAGTTGAGGGTACAAAGGTGTACATTCCAATTCTTTTATGTGAACAAACCCGCTTACATATGTTTCCTTTGCAGTCAATCAGATCAGCGAACTTGTCACAATTACCCGAATACTAAACATTTGATAGGCTGCATTTTCTATACATACACGTATATATCTATATAAATATATATATATATATATGTATAATAGTCTAATGAATGCCAGCAGCCAAATAAAATAAAATAAAATGTCTAATGAATGCCAGCGGCTATCGTTCGTTGCTGATGCATAATGATGCATCATTCAACTAAATTTAGTACTTTGATAGCAGTCTTATTGTTTTATTCTCAACATTGGTTTGATGATGCTGCTGCTCTTTACTAATTCAAACAAAATAAATATTATGTAATTGTAAATTGTGTGGTGTTTCTTTATTTAGGTTTTGGTGATACTTGTATTGATATCATACTATCTGAAATAAATTGAAAAGGATTGCGGCATGACTCAGCCAGCGAGGAATTGTTTAAGCATTACATTATTTTATTGTTTATTTTTTGTTTTTGCTTTTTGCTTGTTGTCTTACTTTGTTCACTTGGCGACGTGGCACAGGTGATTGCCGTAATGGTATGTGGATATTTAGGTCGCCATTGAGGCGACAAGGGTTGTGTTGATGATGACTGGTTGTTATAGAATTGGGCTATTTTTTTTGGTGGGTAAAGTGCATTATAGTAATAGCTGGTGCTTACTAGATGCAATAAATGGACGGTGCTGCTATTAGAGTTTTACATTATTTTTTTCCTAATCTATGTACCTTTGTAAACTTGTTAATAGCATTAGCTGGTACCTATAAAATTAAATACTTTTATATTTTTTTTAATTTTTTTCGTCAGAATTTAATTTTTTTTGTTTGCTTTCTCTGCTATGTAGAAAGGCATATTCAGGTCAGCAGCTGCTTTGCGCACGTACTCCTACAACATGTCGTTCTGCAAATTTTCATTTTAAAGCCATTATTTTTCAATTTTTAAATGCTTTTTTTAAGTATTTTTATTTTTTATTTAATTTATTTTTTTTTCGCCTCAATTTAATCCACAAGAAACATTTGCTTGGCAGATGATTGCATTGTTATGCTGTTTTGCTGTGTGAGTGATTAATTTGAAGCTTTCTTATTTACTTCAGTGCAAAATTCTTTTCGTTTTTCAATATTTTTGCATATTTACTATTAGATAACCATTGTATATACGCAAAGATTTGTTAACTTTTCGGAGCTGTCACAAGGCATCAACTTACCTCACATTTAAAATTTACTTTTTTTTTGGTTTAAGAATTTGCTTTTGATTTTTGAAGGACAGCAAAATAAAATTTAATAAATAAAAATAAATATAAAAAATGAAAAAAAGCTAGCGAAGGCCACACGCGCAGTTGTGCAAAACATTTTTGCTGATTGTTGAAATTTAGTAAATTTTTTGGGTTAAAAAAAAATTGGGTTTGCAATATGAAAAGTGCGCTTTCTTAAAATTGTGCTAGCTGTGCTTTTTGGATTGTACTGTTATTTGCAATAACAAAAATTTTCAAATTTATTTCTTGCTGAATTTTCATATTTTTTTATAATTCGATTTTATCGTTTTTTATGCTAAAATGATAGAATAAGTGTTTTTTTTAATGAAATTACAACAGTTCAAGCTGAATTTCATCTACTGTTCTCTTACTGTCTTTTAATATGACCGAAAATAAACTGGCTTAATTACTTTTTTCTTGAGAAAATTCTGAAGCTCATATTTAATTAAAATACATATGGAAATAAAAGTAAATAAAATAAAATAATATAATATAAAACAATTTAATTAAATAAAATAAAGTATAATAAAATAAATTAACATAAAGAAAAAAAACAAACTTAAAATAATATACAATGAAAAGAAATAAAATAACATAAAATATAATAATATATAAAAAAAATAAAATAAGACAAAATAAAGTAAACAACATGAAACTAATTAAATAAGAAAAAAATAATGAAACAAAAAAAAAACAAAAAATGAAGGCAATAAAATAATATGAATTAATAAAAATAAAATAACATAAAAGAAAAGAAAA